TTCTCTCATCTCTCCATCCCAGATTTCTCAGTTCCCTCTTTGCTCCTGGATTGCAAGAGCCCATCGATGAAAGAGAGTCGGGAATGTTAGGAGGTACTTGAAAGATTGGGAAACTATAAAGGGAAAGTGCAATTATTGTTTGGAGAGAAAGAATAAGGGTCAGTTTGGTAGAGTAGAAAAGGGGGGAAAGGGAAGGGAAGGTGATGGAGGGGGATTAAAAATGTGTGTTTGGCAAAAATTGTTGGAAGGAAAGGGAAGTGAAGGGAAGGGTTTGGAGGGTTAGCTTGTGCCTTCAACAGTAGATTTCTTAACCTCCCAAAAATGGGAGGAAATGAAGGGAAAGGGAAGGAGAGGCTTGATGGGTGATTTCAGATGCCAATTTTACCCTCAAGATTGCAGAGAGAGAGAGACCGCCGGTGATTGAAGCTTGGAATGGCGACCCGAACTGGAACAACAGCCATGGAAACTGAAGGATATGGGTTTTGGATTTTCTGAACAATCTGAAATGATACATCGATACGGGTTTGAACTTTTGATTCTTGCAAACAGATAGATAAACTGGAAATATATGGGTTTTGAATTTCTGATTCTTGTAGAGAGAGAGAGAGAGAGGCCAAGTTCAGTGTTGAGAAGGAGTTGCAGAGATGGAGCGAGATTGGGGAGGCTTTGCCCTATTTTTTTATTTTTCTTTTCTTATGGCCTCAAGTTAAAGACTTTATATATATATATATATATATATATATATATATATATAATAGAGATGGAGGATTAGGGAGGCTGAAATGATTTGCCCTAATTTTTATTTATTTATTTATTTATTTATTATTATTATTTTTTTTTGGCAAGTACATGAAACTATATATATATATATATATATATAAAGGGGTATAATAGTTCATATGTTAAAATAATTGCCTTCAATTTCTTTTCTTTTCTTTTTCCAAACATAATTATTATCTTACCTTTTCTTTTCCTTCATTAATCAACCAAACGCAATGGAGGTTTAAAATTATCCTTCCTTTTCCTTCCCTTCCCTTTCCCTCATAACTAATGTTATCCTTCCCCTTCAAACCCACCGTACCAAACAAAGCCTAAGGATTCTGATAATGAGATATTTGCAAACATGGAATTGGGGATTGAGAGTATTGAGAGATTGGTGGGAAGTCAAGGGACAAAGAAATAAGAGATGAAGATTAGGCTTTTTTTTTTTTTTTTTTTTTTTTTTTGAATGGTAAAGCAAATGTATTAATATATTATGAATTTATAATGTGATCCATAAGCCAAGTAGCCCATTGGTTAGAGCCCAACAAGACAAGAGAACAAAAGTCTAACGTCTAGAGAATCAGATGGAATAACAAGCTTCTGAAACAAGAAGAGACCCAAGACAGCCATTGATAACGAATTCGGATCCGTTATTAGTGGATGTACATAGCAATTCCGGTAACAACCTGCAGCTATGTACAGGGAACATCCATCCCTCATTTGTCCAATTAGTCTGGAGGCATTGGTGGTGGCTGATTAGCCACCGGAGAAAAGGCCCATTCAGTAGCTAGGGCTGAGAAGAATGGGTTCTTCGAAACTTTAAGTGATTCTGAAATGGAAGAAATGATCTGCCTCATAACCCTTGACTGCGTTGATGGCGAGCTCCGGCAAGGTCTATTATTCCGCTCCTACCAGATGTGTTATATCCGAAATACATGGGCAATGCCCAATTTACATTTATATTATTTTGGACACATGTCGCAATATGATTTAGTGACGTCATCCAACCTGAGTTGGACACAAAGTGTTATCCTATATATATTAATCATCTACCAGTAAATTTATTTAGTTGCATAGTTATGATGTACAATCCTATATATTAACAACTCTCCCTATCCTCACCTAAACCTAATAATCAAGGCATGTCAATAGATTTAAGCAAATGATATAAATTTAAAAATACATTAAAGTTTGATGAGTTAATTTTCTTATCTTTTAAAAATAGAAGGAAAGGGAAGAAAAAGCTAGCATTTTTTAAAGAAATATTATTGAATATATTTGTTTAAGATATGTGGCTAATGAAAGTAGTTTCATCTGCAATTTTATTTTTCCAAACATAATTACTACCCTTTTATTTTTGTTTATTAACCTACTAAACACAATAAGTGATTTTTTATTTTTTTTTAACTGACAATAAGTGATTCAACACTATCATTTTATTTCATTTCTTTTCAATCATAATTAATATTATTTTTTCCTTCTTTTTTTGTTATATGTCAAACATGACCCTAAGATTTAGGGCATAAAACAATTTCATTTTATTGGCAGCTATGGCAACAAAATTCTTAACCGTCACAAAAAAGACCTACCGTGTCTATTTGTATGTCTTCCGGTCTCTTTCTCTCTTACACTCCAAGGCTATATTTGGTGTGGTGAAAAAAAAAGAAAAAAAACTAAAGCATAACGTTAGTTACGAAAAAAAAAAAAAAAAAAAAAAAAAAAAAAAGGTAGAGATGAAAATGATAATTTTAATTTCTAGAGAGAATAATTTTAACTTTTTTAATATTTGGTTAATTAACCAAAAAAAATAAGAGAAATTATAATAGGAAAAGAAAAGAAAAAAAAGAGAAGAAACTATTTTAATAAATTTATTATTAGCCTCCCCAATCGCCTCCATCTCTATTCTCGTTCTCAACTCTGAACTTGCTCTCTCTCTCTCTCTCCAACTGCAAACTACAAAATCTACAAGAATCAGAAGTTCAAAACCCATATATTTCAGTTAATCTATCTGTCTGCAAGAATCAAAAGTTCAAAACCTATTACCTGTATCAAAACTCATATCGGCATATCATTTCAGATTGTTCAAAAAATCAAAACCTATATCTTTCAGTTTCCATCGCCCGCTGTTCCAGTTCGGGTTCGCCGTTCGCAAGTTTCAACCGCCGTCTCTCAACTCTCAAGCTTGCCCCCCTCTCTCTCTGCAACTGCTAACTTGTATGTATTGGTTTTTTTTTTTTTTTTTTTTTTTTTTTTTTTTAAATCAACTAATCAAGGTCTGTAATTCTTGTTTTGCAAATTAAATGCTATTTGGTGAAATTTTTTATGATCTTTTTTATATAATTTTTTTTTTTTTTTTCACAATATAAAGTAACAAAATTTGCATTGCATTTTGAGGTAATCACCGTAATCTACATTTTATTTTAGCAAAACAAATATATATATATAACTTCAAATTTTTATTTTTTTAATTTTTTATTTTTGTCAATTATGTATACAAGAAAAATTGAATCTGGGCATGAAAAAAGAAAAAAAAAGAAAAAAAAAAAATCTGAATTGGATTAGAAATCTGCAGAGATTGAATCTGAAACAATTTTTATCAACATGCCAAGCTTTTTGAAGATGGAAATCTTTTCAGAACTAAAAAAAAAAATCATAACATGAACTTTGACAAGCAAAAGTACTTAATATAGGGTAAAGCTCTAAAGTTACTTCCTGAAAATTAAAATACTTACAGAAGGCATGTTTTTGAGTGAATTCCATAGTGATGGAAGGGGCTTGCCATGAACTACCTCACACTCTGCTTCCACTAGTAGATTCTCAAATAGGATTAGTAAATTGGTCAAAAGAAGAGATAGGGTATTGAGTGGTGAATTGTTCAGAAATAAATTGGTAATTTTTTTTTTAATTAATTACCCAAATATGATTTTCTATGCCTTAATCAGTCAACTGTCTAAAGAAACATTGTTAATTAACTAAAATTGAAGTAAACAGCAGTTGATTTTGGTTAATATATTTTGATTTAGCCCACCCCATTGAGAAATCCTGGATCCGCCCTTGTATATGGTCACAAATCTTCTAATTAAATACAGTGGTGACCTAGATCATATATATATAGTTACCTTTGGGAATGTATATAATCACTTATGGGTTCACTTTCGGTGGAATTCACAGCAGTTGCTGGTGCCATGAAAATTTCGAAAGTTAAGTACTCTTGGGCAAGATGGCTGCCATGTTTGAGAATAATGCCAATCCCTCCAATGCTTTTGTATGTAGTGTTCTGTCTATTAGTAATACATATGAAGTCTCTTCATCATCTGCATGTGGATCTTTATTTGTAGCCTATGTAAGAAAAATCTTAATATGTTTGGCTTCTTTGTGTTTTGATCGAATTGAACACATTCCACTTATAATCATTGTGTTGTTCCTAGGATCATTTACACATGAAATTTTTCATTATGTGAATGATTTTGGTCATCCACTGCGTGTGAATCCCAACTCCTCTCTTTGATATTTTGTGAATCCCAAATCATGAAATCAATAATAACGGGGTTTCCTATTGTGTAGAACTTTTTCAGTTTTATCCGAGTCGTATTAGGGAAAACCAATGTTAGCGGGTTTTAGGCTGTTTTGAGAAAAAAATGCAGTTGGATGATCCTCTTATTAGGATGAAAACATGGTCTCTTAATATTTTCCTGAAATACTTCAATCATAAACATTGGTTTCTTCATCGTCTGCATGTGGATCTTTATTTGTAGCCTGTGTAAGAAAAATCTTAATATGTTTGGCTTCTTTGTGTTTTGATCGAATTGAACACATTCCACTTACAATCGTTGTGTTGTTCCTAGGATCATTTACTCATGAAATTTTTCATAATGTGAATGATTTTGGTCATCCACTGCGTGTGAATCCCAACTCCTCTCTTTGATTTTATATAGGGTAAAGCTCCAAAGTCTGAACTTGCTCTCTCTCTCTCTCTGCAACTGCAAACTACAAAATCTACAAGAATCAGAAGTTCAAAACCCATATATTTCAGTTTATCTATCTGTCTGCAAGAATCAAAAGTTCAAAACCCATATCGGCATATCATTTCAGATTGTTCAAAAAATCAAAACCCATATCTTTCAGTTTCCATCGCCCGCTGTTCCAGTTTGGGTTCGCCGTTCGTAAGCTTCAAGCGCTGTCTCTCAGCTCTCAAGCTTGCCCCCCTCTCTCTCTCTGCAACTGCTAACTTGTATGTATGGGTTTTGTTTTAATTTTTTTCTAAATCAACTAATCAAGGTCTGTAATTCTTGTTTTGCAAACTAAAATCAAGTGTAATCTTGATTTTGTGTAAGGGTAAATTTAGCATTAGAAATAATACTTCAAGCCTCTCCTTCTCTTTCCTTCCATTTCCTCCCATTTTTGGGAGGATAAGAAAGTTACTATTTATGCCTTGTGTTATCCTTCCAAAACCATCCCTGCCCTTTCCTTTTCTTCCAATCATTTATGCCAAACACAAATTTTTAATCACCCTCCATCACCTTTCCTTTCCTTTCCTCCCTTTTCCATTGCACCAAACTGACCCTAACTCAAACACAAACCCTACCTAACCCGCACCCAAAAAAAAAAAAAAGGCCACCTAAAAGTTTAAATTACACCAGACTTCGAACTCTCGCTTGCACAATCTTTAAGGTACATCTCTCACATACCATCACTACTTATCTCTGTTTGTTTTGGTCTCTCTATGTTGGTTCAAATTCAGTTTTTTTAATTTTATGTGCTTATGGTCTGAATCTTTACCAAATTGATAATTTCTATTTGATTAATTAGTGAAATTTTCCACTGTTGGTGCGATATATATTAAAGTTGTTCGAGGTTTAATTTTCGTATTGTTATTATTATTATTAAATGAACATTTCAAACAATGTATGAATTAGGGTTTAATATTTTGCTAAAGGTTTCGTTTGGTTGGTGTGAAAATGAAGCAAATGAAAAACACAGTTTTTGCACTGTGGAATTTTATTATTTATGGTTTTATTTTCGTGTGATTGGTAAAGAAAATGACTTTTTCTGGCTAACGATATATAGAATAAATCGGCGTTTGGCAGCGAGTTTCTTGTAAGTTTTATATACATATACTCGCATATATGCGTATATACGTAATACTATGTGTATAGAGTGTGCATATGGACATACATATACATATTTGTGCATGCGTGCTACCTGTTTGTTATAATGTCCGAACCGAAGTGTGTATTGTAAGTAATATATGTAACTACCTCTTTAGTGGGAGACTCTATCTCTGTGCTCTAGCATTGATAGGATTTTCTCTATGTGAGAATATAACCGGTATTTATGATTTAAAAATAAATTACAGTCAAAACATATATGTGTATGTGTATATACATGTATGCTATGCCTACATGTACTTGTAATTTAAAGTGTGTATTTGTGTATGATATCCTTGTTTTTGAGATGAATAAGACTATGACTGATGCAAGTATTTCTTGCTGTATGGAAAAAGCTAGGTTTGGGGAACCATGTTGAGGCATGTGTATAGCAAGTTATGTTCACATGGAGGTTATAAAATGAGGCCTTGCTTGAATGCACAGACAAGTTATTTCCACAGTGGACAGGTACATTCTTGATCATTTTTTATTTTTTATTTTTTTAACCTGATGTAACCTCAACTGTCCCTCCCTGCTTGACCAATTAAGACCATTGAGCAAGTTTCATTTTTGGATTTTGTTTTATTATATTTGATCTGTTTTAGTTCTCTTCAAATAAGTGTTGTATTTAGAAAAAATAATAATAATGGTATTCTATTTGACTCTCACAAGCTGTGCCTCTTGACTAATGTGATAATGGCAAATTTGGATTCATGAAATACTTGTGGACATATATATTGTCAAGACTGTCTGTTGAATCCCAATTGGCATTAGTTATTGGAATGAAGAGTCAACTTGTGTTGTATTTACGTACACATAATTAGCTCTTTTACTTGGCATCCATATCCTAGTCAAGACCAAAATGAAATTAAAAGATATGACAAAATTATTGTGAATTTTTTGAAAAAGTTAAAATTTATTATGAGATTAGTCATAGGTTTGCAATGGCTCAAATTGTAGCAGAATCTCAGATTTTTCAATGTTTATTTAAGATATAAGACCTGGTAAAGAAAACAAAATTCCCTTTGTTGTGCTCCTTAGTTTTTCCTATATGGTCATTACAGCTTTGTTTAGCACCAAGAAGCTTTTTTGGGGTGGAGGATTTCCTTGACGATGACAATAGCCGGCCATACACTTACCAGAAGGAGAAGAAAGCAAAAAATCCAGACAAGAAGCATGCGTCATTCAAACAACGTACCATAGCTTACATGGAACCATTTACACTGGACGTTTTTATCTCAAAGCGGTTTGTTTCAGCCTCACTTACCCACAGGGTAACTTGTAAGCAGGTTGCAGTTGCTGGTACCAACTCTAAAGACATCAAAGCTGCGCTCAAGTCGCGATCTGATATACCTGCATGTTTAGCCGTTGGCCGGATTTTATCTGACAGAGCAAGAGAAGCTGACGTGTACACCGCTTCTTATACTCCAAGGGAGAGAGACAAGTTCGAGGGCAAGATTAGAGCGGTTGTACAGTCCCTCATTGACAATGGGATTGACATTAAAGTTTATCTTGACTGAACCAGTGAGTTATCTTAGGACCATGGGAAACTGGAGGTTGTCTTTCTGGATTGTAGAAACAAATACGTTGCCTGCAATTTCTATAGTTATTCAGCTTTCGTGCACTGGGCTAACCCTTTTCTTTATTTTGCTTTTGTGCATTTCACGAGTAGAGAGGCTCTGCTTCAGCTGAATCTTAGCTTAACTAACCTTGTTCAGTCTTGGTTCATTTAGAACATTTTGGAGACATGTCCAATTGATATTGTCATATATTGTCAAGTTCTTGTGTCAATTCACGTTTTGTTTAGGTTTTAATTAAACATTCACAGAAATTGATAGCATATTGAAGTGATCTGAAACTGTAGACAGTTCAACTGATGGTAAACTTTTATTTTCAACTGGACAATTACAGTCTCTGAGTGTAGGTAAGTTTGTGAAGATCATGGACAGCATGAGAATATATAGCCCTTACCTTCTGATAAAACACTTGGTTTATAAAGGTATGTGTTTTTTCAACGAGTCTCTAAAGTCATTAGATGTCAAGCATCAACCTAACTTAAAAAAATACAGATTAGAAACTTCATTTTAATCCTTCTTGATTCTTTGGTCCCAGTACTCATTTTCCCACAACTCCACTTGCTTAGTTGATTTACCTTTCTCATCAAGGAAGGCTTTGAAGGACTGAGGATCATATGGTGGAGGCATAGTGCATGGGACTGCATCAGAAGGAGACTTCACCACTGATTCCACCATGAACTTCTTCCAGTTACCGTCTGCGCCGCACGCCATTCTTTCGGGGCACAGCTGAATCCCCATTGGAGGTATAGTTGGCTTGAACTTGATGAGCTTTGCATATTCATTCAACAAATGAAACATGTAATCATACACATAATCCATCTTTAGATCCTCTTGAATGTATCTGCTCGCTGCCTCTCCAATAGCTTGTGCCTAATAAATTCTTACAATTCACTATTAGAAATACTATAGATATATAATATGTGTGTGTATAATATATATATAGAGAGAGAGAGAGAGAGATTGCCTTTTGGGTGTGATTGTTGCCCCATTCAACGGCAAACTTGAGAGATTTACACTTATTGTTGTCCCTAATGGGCCAATAATGTTGCAATGGTACCATGCCTCTTGTGAAGAAATCGGTGAAACGTGGAGTTACCAGCAAGGTTGGGGAGTTGCATGCTAAAATGTATTTTTCACTTACAGACCATGCCCATCCTTCTATATATATCTTATATCTTCCATGAATTGCGCAAAAAAAAAAAAAAAAAAGGATCAAAAAAACAATAAATAAATAAAAGAGAGAGAAAGGACTCACGTTGAAATTGTAAAATGAAAAGAAAAAATAATAATAATTACATGTTTGGATAGTGAAGTTGAAAATTTTGATGTTCACCTGTGGGTACACTGGTCACCTAGATTTGATTGCTTGTATCCTACCTTGGATTCTTTCACCCAATCCTGAAGTAACAATAGTTATTTATGAGAAGTCTACGCCTTCGCTAATCTTGGACCATAGATTGGGCCATGATCAAAGGACATATGTATTAATTTCTTTTGCACTCATTTAGATGCAATAGAAAGCAAAAGCAACTTATTTCAACTCCAAATTCAATTGTGCCACACACAAAAAATAAAAATAAAAATACAAAAATAAAAAAAACCCCTCCATATCAGTTGGTCCCACTTTCAAGTAAAATGTTACATTTTTCATTTTTAATTTCAAAGTATAATAATGGGTAGGTGATTTGAAAATCAGAGTTATATTATTATTATTATTATTATTATTATTTTAATATTTTTTCAAAGCAAGAAGTGGTAGATGTTAGATTAATAGACGTAGAAAGTCGAAACTTGGTACTCCATTCACGAGGCCCACTGATCTATCGAGACAATTGAGCAGTTATATTATTTAGTTTGCACAAAAATTAAAAAAGACTATGGATTGTTTGTTCCCCACACACACACACACATAAATAATAACAATAATAATAATAATAATAAAATTTGTAAGCACTAATTAAAAGCATGATGAGTTTACTTGGACATATAGAAGAGTGTTCCAGTCATCTTTATCAGTGACATTGCACTTCATAAGGTCAGCCCTTGTCGGAGCTACATGTGGGTTACCCTTCCAATAAGCCAAGGGTACCCTATCCTTCCACTTCGTTTTCTTGTTCCCAACTTTTATGTCCTCTAACACACTCCTCCATGGCTTTATGTTTGTCTCAGCCCTGCCAAAAATCAAGCGCAACACTCAATCAAGTTCCCAAAATATTTTCATGTCAAGCATGATGCTTTTAAAAAAATTAGTTCAAAATCTTAACTAAATTTCTTTTAATTTCACATCCAGACAGTCGATCGCTACTCCCAAACATAGCTTCAATATATTTTGAATGACTAAATAGAATTGACTATGTGCATTTATGTTTCAATCGATTTGAAAAGTCTGATTTTACGGTAATGAAATAATAGGGTAGTCCTTACCAGCCCCAAAATGACCAATCCGGGAACACAATATCCAAATTCCATTCATCGGAACAGTACCGGAACAACGGTGGTGGGCCCGAGTTGGGTCTCCGAAAGTCCTTGGATCGGACGACAGGCCGATCATCGCAGTCAAACATCATCTCCAAATCTGGCAATCTTCCAGGGTACCACCTTAACAGCTGTACAATCCCCCACAGGGTAAACAAATCTCTAGTCTGAATTGACTTCCTAAACTTCTCTATGTAGACCTTCCCGCTGAGGATCACCAATCTGAAGTGAGCGGTCTTACTTGCTCCCTCCACCATGTCCCTCGTGATTCCCGTCCCCTTCCATGGCCGTAGATCTTCATGAATCCAACGGAAGTAATCGGGGCACGTGGCGTTCGATGAACGGTCAGGTTTGATGATGGGTTTGGATTTGGTTGGATAGTTTTTTGGGCACGTCCGTGTTTGGTTCCATGCACTGCAGTCCAAAGGGAATTCAAGTGTGTTTGGTGTTCTCTTGAATGATGGAAAGGAATGACCTGAATTTATAGACTGCAAGTAAGGGACATAACTTTAGTTATTAATATTAATTAAGTAGTATTCTTTGGTGTGCGAAATGAAAATCTACTATGATTGTAAAATTAACATTTAAATAACATTAATTGGATCTATATACTAGAATTTTAATGATATAATTAAAGAACTACAATTGAATTTTTTTTTCAGAGTAGTCTTCTTTTCTTCTTCTCCAATTAATTTTGTGCTTAATTGGAAAGATTTATAGAGAATTAACCAAATCATGCACGAACTTGCTTCAACAGTTGTTTCAGCATCTGAAGTAGATAATTTAAACTGTTTTTGGAAGCATGAAATTAATTAAGTAAATGCAAAATGTCAATTTTCCAAGATTTAGTAATAAAAAGGAAAAAGAAAAAGGACAATTTATGTCAAGATCAAGTTGAAGGAAAAAAAAAAAACTTACAAGATCAATCCAGCAAGCATAGACTAAGATGCCAACGAAGAGGAAGAAGAGAAAAGAAATGACACTAGTCGTGGCGATTCTTTTCTTCAGTGGCTGCCATCCAGGTTCCATAAAGTACTTATTCATATACTTTTCATTATTCCTTCTCATTCTTCTATATATATACACACACATATATATATCACAACTTCAACTATCAACAAGAACAAGCTCAATATATATAACACTTGTTATATATGTATATGTATATGTATATGTAGTTATACACATATATATGGTCTTCTAAGTACTTCCTCTCTCTCTCTCTCCCCCCATGGTGCATGTGTTAAGTTTGAAACTGATGATGGGAGACAACAAGGAACTTGTTTTTCACTTCTTTGGAAAGGGTTGGTTCACGTTTGGTTACTTACTAGTTGATTTGCATAATGAGTCAAAGTCTTTCATTCTAATTACGAAAGGACTCTGTCTCTCTCTCTCTCTCTCTCTCTCTCTGTGCTTCATGTGCTAATGTAGTCGTTTTTAAGTTTATGTCTCTTCTATTTTAACGTTGTATACAAGTAATTCACTCTCTTTTGCATGACCAAGTAAGTCTTTTATTGTAAATAGAAGACTTTCAAGGCTATGTCACTAAGTCTTTGCATTTTTTTTCTTCCCATTTTTTAAGTTGATGTATATGTAAGGGATAATTACAAATATATGGAGTTCTGGAATACAACTTTCAAAATTTTGAAATCAAAGTCAGTGCTTTTCAAAATCATGTCTTCTTTTGAAAGTCTGACATTAAAATAGTAGAGGTAGTTTGAGTAGATGAACGGTTTTTTTTTTTCATTTCTAACCAGGCTTTTAGAAGAATACATGATTTTAACTCCATCAATTTGAAAGTTTTCCTCGAAACTCCATGTGTTTATAATTATATCCATAAATAAAAATTTCAATATGATTAATCTCGTCTTTTGTGCCAATGAAGTAGTCTTTAAGTTATATGTCTTTTCTATCTTAACGTCTGATACAATTCACTCTTTGAGTCTTTGTATGACTAAGCAATTATTTTTCTTGTAATTCCAAGACTTCCAAGGCTATTTCATTAAAGTCTTGCTCCAATTTATTTTTATTTATTTATGGTGTATTTAGTAACATTTTCGTTTTCTGTTTTTGCAGTCGCAAAGAAACAGAAATATAATTTTGTTTTTTGAAGTAAAAATAGAAAGCAAAAAGTAACGTTTAGTAACCTTTGTTATTGCCACAATTTTAATAACAAAAAACAAAAAGTAGTGTTTAGTAAAACATTTGTTACAAAATTTATTTTTTTTTTGGAAATTTTTTTAATTCATTTTTTCATCCATCTATTAAAATCTAACTTTCAATCACAATAAAAGATATAATCTAAAAAAGGAAAAATATATATATATATATACAGGATAAGCGCACAATTGTAGAATGTATATATATATAATATAAAAATAGATTTTATATATACATATATATTAACAAAAAAATCTGAAAACAAACCACAACTAATACATGTATAACAATCAGAAAAAGGAAAAAAAAAAAAAAAAAATACAGGACGTACAGTTGTATAATGTGTATATATATATATATAATATAAAAATAGATTTTGTATAATGTATATATATAGAATATAAAAGTACTAATGGAATAATGTCAGTGATTGTGTATTAATGGAAGAGTAATGTCAGTTAGAGAAATAGTGGTGAAAACGTTTCATCTGCTACAGTGAAAAAACACAGAAAACATCATTGTGATATTTTATCTTTCTTTCATAAAAATGAGAAATGTTTTTCATTAATAAAAATGAGAAATGTTTTTCATTAAGTAGGAAATAAAAACAAATCACTAAACAGAATTTTTGTGTTTATTTCTTCTTTTTAAGGATCGACAATAAAAAATAAAAAATGTTTTGGGTTACTAAACACATCCTTACTTATTTTTAAAGATATAAGGGATAATTACAAGTACATAGTTTTGTAAAGAAAATTTTAAATTCATGAAGTCAAAGCTAACGCTTTTTCAAATCATATATTTTTCTACAAGTTTGAACGTGGAACCTGGAAATAGTAAAGGTAATTGATAATTGAACAGTGTTTTCATATCCACTTAGACTTTTTTTTTTAAAAAAAACGTAATTTTAAAAAGAATTAACTTTGACTCCAGGTATTTAAAACTTACTCACCAAAACTCCATGTATTTACTATAATTATCCCTATAACTAATTTATTGTACATCTATCATAAATGGCAATTACAGCAGGAAGCCCATGGGCCACTGAAGATATAAAAGATGCATTAGCCCAAAACGAGGGAAAGGCCCAGGCCCAAGCTAGAATAGCACAAACCCCTTGCTCATATTTAGAGTGACTTTAACGGCAGCCAATTATTTACCACTTATATGGGCTAAGTCGATCACATGCAAAAATTTGTTGTCAATCAATTTTTATCCTGACCAAGGATGAAATGAAACGTGAAAAAAGTTTCTGGAAAAACTAATTTCCAGTGGTAGAATCTCGTGAATATTTGTTATCTATATATATATATATATATATATATATATATACATACAGGACAGCTTTAGATTCCTACATAATTGATACTTAAAAATTTAGAAATTTTTATGCACATAATATGTAACTGGGAGTAATTCTTGCACATTCTATATATAGTTGTTTTTTTTTTTTTTTTTTTTTTTTTTTTTGGTACTTTACCCAACAAGAAGAGAGAAAAGCCATTGACTACAAGTCTCTAATAAACCTTGCCAAAATTATTATAAAAAAGTCATCTATTCTCTCCACCTGTCACTTGGAATTCAAATTAATGAGCAAAATAATAACCCTGTTTACAATTTAACATATGCTTTAAATAAGGTGACATAAATCAGATAAATAGAACACAAATAATTTGAGAACTCAATAACATAAATCAGATAAAAGTGTAATACTATGAACAGCGGGATTGTGATCAATATCCAACAACATTTGTTGCATAATATTGAAGATGTAAGAAATTCCTCCTCCCTTTCTCTCTCTAGAATTCTTACATTTCAACCAAAAAATATCCCCGCTCCTCTATCCATTACTTCTCCTATTTATAGATATTTACAAATATTGATGGGCTGCTGGATCTAGGCCCATTCCTCTATGAGTTCTGGTCATCTTTGATGGGCTATTCGTGTTCGGCCCATATGGCAGTGTCTTTCTATGGGCCTGACCCATCTGTACGGACCGGATGTCGCGTTTGTAAGTCACATCCGGCCCATGTCACTTCGGGCCTCCTCAACTGCCCCCATAATTACCCCTTGTTTAATAAGGGGGTAATTATTGAAGGCGTCTCATCATGACGTTGACGGCTCGAGAAACCCACATGGGGGAACGGACGGTCAGATCCAGAATCAATGTTCCGGGGCTCGATGAATTTCTCGCCTTCCTGACGCTTCGGCCCTCGGGTCCCCCTCGCCTTTATAAGGCTCTAGAATACCACTTCATGCCTTTTTACCGTCTCCATCATCAGTCAAATCTCTCGTTCATCTTTTTAGAACAGTGCTAAATTTCTTCCGGTGAAATCCTTCAAGAGTCATTCTGCTGGGGGCTAACGTCAGCAGTGACTATGGGAGATACCACAGTTGACGAATGAGGAACGGTAGGAGGAGCTGTAGTGATCCTAGAGGAAGCAATATTTCGCGTTTGTAAGTCATATCCGGCCCATGTCACTTCGGGCCTCCTCAAATATGTATTTCAGGGTGAAACTCATTTAGACTCCTCTTTTTTTCGGTAGGATCCAATTTCATTTTTACAAAACTTAGTCGAAAAAAAATGAGAGCAAGAGAAAAAAATAAATTAGAGGGCTAAATCTAAGCCTTGTTGCAAAAGTAATTTGTGATGGCCAAGTGTTCTCACTTCTCAAAATGTGACCGTGATTCACAAATTGTTACACTTTTGAAGAAAGTAATACACTCTTACCATGTGTGTGACATAATGACATTATGATGACATTATAAGAGTTAAATATAATATATGTATATAATTTTGATATAATTTTGAAAATATATATATATATATATATATTTATAACAGTTTTAAAAGATTATAACATAATTCAGTGGAGACAATCCACAAAAAAAAAAGAAAAAAAAAAGAACCACATATTTTACCGAATCATGATGTAGCATGGTATGCTTAACCTAATAATGGAACCTCATTACCGTAACTATACCTACTTTAAAATTTTATTACGACTCAATTCAACTCCGCATGAGAGTATTCAATGCTACCTAACAGGGGAACCCACCACAGTTGATCTTCTGATGAGAGAGTCGCTGTCAGTGGGTCCCTTTTGCTTTATTAAGCCCATTCCAAAGAGATGAGGTATCAAAATGGACTACCCACGTATAGATAGAATAGAATAAATATTTGAGACTTTTGAGTATGAATATACATACAAATATATATATATATACACACACACATATGTGTGTGGCCACTGATAATGCTCCAAAAAGTTACAATAATATCCAGATATTAAAAAATACTAGATATTTGTTCAGATGTATCTCAACTCAATCATATGATTCGTATCCCTACATTTGTAAGCACAATTCAGCCATCTAAAAATAAAAAAAATACAACTACGTGTGTCTGGTCCATGTAGTAGAAAATATTTCAAATCTTATAGAATTATGTCTCTCTTTTTTAATCTTACTTTAAAAAGAAAAAAGAAAAAGAAAGAAAGCAAAAAAAGGGAGGGGGAGGAACATAAAAGTTCATTTGCAAATGACTATTTTGTTATTGGGAATTGGTGGAATGACCAAACTTGACAAAGATGTAGGGACAAAATTTCAGAAAATGCTATTTTTTTTTTTTTTAAATAATATTTTTCTTTAACTTTATATTATCCCATCTTCATGGAACTGAAAAACAGAAAAATGGTTCAGGGATTCATTTAGTTGACAAAAATTCAAAAAAGATAAAATCAATGAAAATAAAGCTACAAGACCTAACTTGAGATAACTTTTTTTTTTTTAATAGTAGTTCAATTTATTGATTAACATTTAAGTACACATATTAAGTGATTAAACACTTAATTAAAAATATAATAATTAGTAAGGCTCTCATTATGGATGATTTAGCTCTTATTGTTAATTTTAGGATACAAAAATATAAGACAATAGGAAGATGAAATGGAGAAAGATCAAGAATACAATATATATATGGTTCGACATTAAGGCCTATATTTACATCTATGAATCACGAGTCACTAAAGCTGCATTTTCTTTTATTACTTGTATTTCTTGATATATTTATATTATATTGATACACAATATATAGGAAATAAATCAAACAGAAAAGAAAGAAAACCGTAAATAAAGAAACCGTATTATACATATGAGTAATGAAAGGAGAACCGAAAAGGAATTCTCAAATTAACACCGAATTTGACGTAGTTAGATATACTTATCACATATTAAACAATTATTTTTTGAAAACTGTTTAAGTAGATGAGATTGACAAAAACATGTCAGATTCGAGACTTATTCAAGAAAATTATTTGGTGATCCTATCATTTTTCTATATATATATATATGAGGAAAGAAGAAAAACAAAATAATTAAATCAAGGAGTAAATCATGAAGGAAAGAAATAAAATCGAATATAATATATATGAGGAATGGAGAAATCTTTAAACCTTATTTAAGTGACCAATCATCGCAGCCATCTCAGCTACACCACTTATTTTCTGTATCGAGTAATCTAATTAATTTTAAAGAATCTATTACTACTGGATTAATAAGCAAAGACTGTTTGAAATTGAAAAAAAAATAAAAAATAAAGACTGTTTGAAAATTGATGAAACGCCGACGGATCAGTATTTTGCTGCATTTATCAATACCTGTTTTTACCTTTACATGTCGGCATGGAGGGAAATGCAACGTGTATCGGAAGCCTGTAGACAGCTCAATACACCACATTCATCTCATCATGTACAACATTAATCAAACTCCATTTTTCTTTCCAATCTTCAATCAAACGGCTACAAAGTAAACCCATACACGTCTTACACTCGTTTTTCCCGCTGATATATATATATATGTATAATATGTGTGTATATATATATATATATGTATAACTACTCGCTTGTTTAACGGAACTTTCCTGAATAAGATATTTGCATCCACTTATTGGTTTAGATTTCACTACTAAAGTTAGCTAATAATGTCGACGGAGGAACACAAGAAGGTCCAGCCCCAACCTGCTCCGGCACCGGCACCGGCACCGGCACAGACACCGGCGAAGGTTGAAACTCCGGACGACGTCGTAGAGCAGAAAGCTGTGATTCCACATCCCGAAGAGAAGGCCGATGAGTCTAAAGCTCTTGTTGTAGCCGACGGTACGTAAAATCTCTCTCTCTATATATACGTCAGACTCTGATTTTGTTAATTTATTTGGTTGAGATATATATTAATGTTTTTCTGCAAATAATTTTCGATTACGACCTGTTTGGTTGCCGAGAAAGCTGAGGAAGGCAAAGTGGTATTTTGAATCTCATGGTACATGTTTTCTTGAAATTGATACAAAGACAACGTAGAATTCACATGAATCAAACTGTATAGCTGTGTTGAGCTCATTTCAGTGTGTGTAAATATCGGTTTTTTTTTTTTTTTTCTCTTTGCTTACATTGACTGTAAATTTGAATTTTGATTTAGTCTCATTTATTATACTTTCTCATCAACCAAACAGAGTACATTCTAAATATCCAAATTTTTTAGTTTAGCTCTATTTTTCTCTCCACCTTAATTCTTTTCCTGAGATGTTTATGTGAAAAGAAAAAGCTATATATTAGTATGATACTCTGACCGGCCTTTATCCATTGGATCCAGAGTGTGATAGTATACAATTCTCGATCCAATCCAATAAATGAGAACTTGAACTTATGGTGAAAGGCCCCACTTAATGTATGTGAAAAACTCTCATCCATGAGGAATAAAGTGAAATTTGAAAAAATCAAACAATTTATGTTCAATTAAAATTTTATTTTCATTAAGGGTTTTACACTGATAATCAACATCTGCATTGCTATTTCCATATCTTTTATAGATTTGCCGACTATATGATTAATTTATATTAAATTACATGTCCATATACAAACACTTTAACTTTTAGGGGAAAAAATCCCTTAAGAAAGAATCACTTACATTTGTTATATTATAAAAGGGCTTACATTGGATGCTCCAATGCGTTGTTGGTAATACTATTTGTGGGGTTTTATCAACTATTTTGTATTCATTTTCTTGTCTGCATCGAATTATCTGTTTTATGAGGCTATTCTCATTCTTATTTGTATATCATTGTTGAAAAAACATAGCATCATTTAATTACAAGTTCTTTCATTTTCTTTTTTCTTTTTTCTTTTTTCTTTTTTTTGTTTTTTCTTTCTAATAGAAGGTTATTGTAAATTCTTGTAAACTAGGTAAGGAAATTATGGCTGGTAGGAAAGTAATAAGCTTTAAATTGGTCTTACAACTTTTTGAATAATGTTATTGAAAGCGAAAGAAAAAGGAAAATAAAAAAGTAAAAAGTGCATAAAAACTGTTGTCATTAGATTTGTGATGAAATACTGAAAGCCTATACGATTCATGTCCAAATATCTGAGATGGAAAAGGTAGATACACATACAGTACATAACCGATGATGGTAGCCAAAACTTTCCTCTGTTTTCTTGGCTAAGCTGCCCAAATTTATGAGTGGAATGCCCAGTTTTTAAATGTTTTATTTTGTTGAAGATTGAAAAAGAATAACATAAGATTCTTGCATTGGTCAAATTTAGTATTTGCTTAGTTGTCCTTGGTATTCCTTTTTAATCATTTTTTTTTTTTTCTAAATATAACAAGATACTTAACCCTCAACCCATAGAAAATTCACTTTTGAACTTCATTTTCATCTTTTTTCGATAGGTAAGAAATGCACACACCCACAGGTGACAGTTGCCCCAAAGAATCACATTAGATTTGTATTGGAAAGTATAGGAGATACTACCAGCTAAGGCTCTTTGTACGTATTCAATTTCATTTTTACCTTTTCTAGCAAGAGATTTATAAATTGATAACTTTTTTGGCAATTTATGGCATGAGTGATAATCCAAAAACTGGTATGAAGTGTACTTAAGGTTTCGGCAGTTTTTAAATTATCTTCACTAGTATAGAAATCAGGAATTTAACTGTTGAATTTCCTATCTTTGACAGAGTCTCCAGATCCTTCGGTAAAGAAAGTCTCAGGGGGGTCTCATGACAGAGGTATAACGAATAGCTCCCTCTTCTCCATCTTCTATAATTTAATAATATCAGGAAAAGTGAGGCTTATATGTCCTTTGGAGATTGGATGAGTTCATTATGTTTTAGCATTTGAATGAGTGTATTAATATCCTTTGAATTGTTGAGATAGGCGCATTGCTGAATTTTATAAAAATGACCTCTACTATTTCCCATTGGTAATTACGTTCAGGTGCCGGAAAGCACTAGTGATTGATTGAACTTAAGTTGATGTGCCGTGAATTTACTTTGTTTCTTCAGATATTGCTCTTGCAAAGGTTGAAAGTGAGAAGAAGCTATCGTTTGTCAAGGCGTGGGAGGAAAGTGAAAAAACAAAAGTTGAGAACAAGTATGTTTTTCTCTAACTTCTCTTGTCCATTCTTTCATTTTTATGAACCTTTATTGGGCAACTTAGTCATTGTTTCAGAATTTCCTTTATTTATCACGTCTCAGTAGTCCTGCAGACATCCAGTTTTTCAGTGTGTGGAGTTAAATTGTTTTCTTCTGGTTTGTGTATCTCTGGTTAATTTGTAAATATTCATTTCTCACAAGATTTGAACTAATGCCGATCGTTCTCTTTGATAATCACGAATTAATCTTTACATATTTCACCACTGGCCCTTACTACATTAATGTCAAAAATAAAACCTATAAGATGGTAACTTGTGAAAAAGCATCAACCAAAGCCAACATTGGGTAATGAGATTTTCATGTCATTTATGGGATTTCGCAAACATCTAATAACAGAAAGGCAAATGGTAGGAGCTGAAGTAAATGCGAATTTTTTGGTCTGGCTCACTGTTAAGAAATTGCGCTTACAAACTTCTTTCCCATAGTGAACCTAAATACACTTATCCGGGAACAAGAATTTCTTGTTGAGTGCTACCATTGACATGTTTAGAAATAATGGCTATGTTATAAATTGAAACAGCTTCTGCAGATTTGTAGATTTAACTGATTTTATACAGAGCTAAAATTCCAGTTTAATTAACTGCCCAAATTCAAGCCTAGTTAACCGTCCGGTTTAATAGTTAGTATAATGTGCCGTAGATTTATAAGAAGCTGAATTTTTATGCCATTCATTAATTATCTTTTGGGGTGAGTTCTGAAGTTTTTTTGGTAATGTATATTTCATTTGCTACTGATTTCTCAAGGTTTTAATTGCTGAAAATTTTAGCCTGCTGAATATTTAACAGGGCCGAAAAGAAGCTGTCTGCTGTAGCTTCATGGGAAAACAGCAAAAAGGCAAATGTTGAAGCTCAACTGAAAAAAAAAGAGGTAATCAGGTTCCTTAGTTTAATTCCACTTGCATTGTGGGAAAATTTTCCCTACATTTTTGTAGCATATGAAATTTTCTTTACATTTCAGACTTCCATACGAAACTAGCTTTTAGTATGGAAACTAAAATTTACCATTTAATGGTGAAATGAACAAAGCAAAGTTCCATAATCAGTGCAATTCTTTGCCTTTTAAACTACTTTAGTGTAGTTTAAACTACATGTTCACCTTTAACAAGTTTATATGTATGAGCAGGAACAATTGGAGAAGAAAAAGGCTGATTATGCAGAGAAAATGAAAAACAAGATAGCTTTACTTCACAAGCAAGCAGAAGAAAAGAGAGCGATGGTTGAAGCCACGCGTGCGGAGGAAATTCTCAAGGCAGAGGAGATGGCTGCAAAATTCCGTGCAACTGGAAACGTTCCAAAGAAGCTTCTTGGGTGCTTCTGAAATTAAAATTATTTGTTCTCATTTCCTAGCAAAAGGGAAGACTTTCAGTTCTTACCTGTAAATTTTTCCTGTTTGCGTGTAATCTGTTTGGAAAAGCATTGCATGATTATTATTGCTTTTTGTATAGGCACAGTATGTTTTGTTTGTAAGAAACAAAGTTTAATATTTAATGACATGAGTTGAGAAGTTTAAATGAATATGTGTACGGGCAACCTCCAAAAACTAAAATCTGACTGCATTGTTACCGTACACAAGGGCATTAGTGTGACTAGTCATCATAGTCAATTATATTTACATCCTTCAAATTTAGGTTTCTTATTTTGATCTTGGCTTCTCTCCTAGATTATACTTGGACAAGGATCACCTCCAGTTGCACAGTAAGTCCATTTCTTCCATTTTCGTAAATAAAATACATCCCAACATTTTTGTAAGATGCATTCTAGTATTTTCCTACTGTGCATCTTAATATTTTCCTACTGTAATAGGTGACGTGGCCATTTCTAGACCACTCATTTCAAAATGGAGTAAATGGCACATTATTTTACTAGAGGTGATTTTCACCCATTATACTTCAACTTAATTTACACTTCATAATTACTTCTACGAACTATATATTGACACAAAGTGTGGGCTGAAATTATTCTGATTTGGTTAGATCTTCACATCATATCTTCGCATTTGTTATTTTGGTGCCCCCTCTAAGCCTCACCCCAGAGGGTGAGCATTGGTAAGATTACCTTATTATGATTGTGAGCATTGGTAAGATTACCTTATTATGATTTAGAGCTTACGGGTTCGAAATAAGGAAACATTTAGGCTGCATACATTTAACCCTACTAGACCCCGCAATGGCAGCAGCCTCGCAACCAAAATCAGTAATGATACCATATAATTTCACAGTAATCAAGTCATTTTTAGTGGCAAGGTCCACTGTTTTTGTGAGGCACTTCAGGGATCAATCAATTAAAGAAACACCAATCAATTGGAACATTGAAGATGCAGAATTAATTATGCCAAAGTTAGCAAAGACAGCAAAACTAATCTAATAATATTAGCACCAAATATTAAATCACCATGACAAAAGATACATGACCCAAGGAGTACAAAAGTACATAAGAGGTTTTAATGGATTCAAGGAACACGTGTATTAACCAAACCTAAGCCTCATCATAATAAGGTGGATGAATCATGACATATATAGATATATATCCCATTGCACGTACTTCACAGCTGGAGATACCAAAAATTGTCCAGCTCAAATTCAAGAAAGGGAGGCTTCAAAACATACAGTATGCTATCACCCAAACTTCAAAGGGAGCAGTGTAAGGAGCTTTCAGTCAGAATGGAAGGATATAAGTCATAGTTCTCCGTTTGACCTAGGAAGCTCATGTCATTGTTGCTCGGAAAATCTAATAGCAGCTGTAATGCTGTGTCGGATGAATCCTCCGACTCATTGGAGCTTGATGAATCTGAACCAGCCACGACATTGTCAAGGCATGGTTTGCTGATCTTGATCTTGGATTCTTTATCTTTGTTTAGACTGCTTCCTGTGGCAGACGAACCAGCTACAACGAGAGCCATCTCCATTGTGGTTCCTGAAACTGATCCGCCTTTTGTTGACGAGGAAGCTTGAGAAGTTGGGCTTTGACATGCAGTTTTATCACTCTTGTTAAACTTCCGAAATGATTCTCCAACTTCAGAATTCCATATGCGCAGGAAATAGTCAGAACCAATTCTTTGCAAAGGTGGTGGATTGAAGAGGAATGACTCCCTTGAAAGCCTAGCCTCAGCTTCAAGCCTAGCACTCTCCCACTGTGCCATATGGCGGGTGGAAGGCGACGAGGGTGGTTTAATTGTTGGTCCATAGGTTATGGAGGCCGGTTCATGAGTCTGTGGGTTGATGCCCATGCAAAGCAGTCGCTTCCTCAAGTGGGTGTTCCATAAGTTCTTGATCTCATTGTCTGTCCTTCCTGGTAGTTGAGAGGCAATCGCAGCCCACCTGAATATGTGGTTTAGTATTTGAGATAGTAATCACAGCACCATCAAATTATCTTCAAGGCACCAAAAGAGTGAAATATTGCATGAAAAAAAGAAAAAAAAAAAAGAAAAAGAAAAAGAAAAAAAAAATACACTAGGAACAACCCACCACATACAAAGATAACATTGTTTTGTTACCCAAAATAAAGCAAGTGAAAATTGTCCATGTTGGCAAACAATTGCTCTCATCTGTTGTATTATTGGTAAATAATATTAAATGGAAGTAATAAACAGTTCGTTCTCAGCCTTTAACAAGATTACATGACTATATTGTTGGATTAAAATCTTACAAAATGTGATTTTTATAGCTTGAGTCAAGTCCTTTATAATCTATGTACCAAGAGAAGAATGCAATGATTGCTGGTTTAGCCGATACATATGCAAATAGAAGTCAATGATATGATCCAAGCATTGTTGCAGAAAGTCATAGCGCACCTTGTAGAAATCAAAGATTGTGAAAAGCCTTTTGAGCTTGGGTTCGCATTGAATTTTATTTGCCAACACACACTCATTCTCACATTCCCCCCCAAACACACAATACATGCCCACCTGAAGGGAGTTCAAATAGTACAGATTTGGTTAAGACAATTCGTGTACAATATCCAAATTAAAAATAGATTTTATATTTTCACAACAAACCATATTTTGCATCCAATATAAATTTGAAGCATTGGCAGACCTAATAAACCTGCAAGTGGTATGTTTTCTTTCTAATTCACATTATTATGCATGGGCAACTAGAAAATTTTCTCCAAGATTTTCTAGAGACGAATTGCAGGTAAAAAAAAAAAAAAGGTTCCTAAGTGATGCTAGTAAAGAGGAAAGTATTTAGTTGTTCTCTAAAAAAAGCTAAAATATGGAATGACCAGAACATGTGCAGTCTAGTGTAATTGTTTCTTGTGTATGATTCTATAACTGTTTCAAGAGATTATCAGGATAGGCGGATTTCAAGTTTCAAAGGTTAGTCATGCTTCCGGAACATGTGCAGCGTAGTGTAATTGTTTCTTGTGTATGGTTCTACAACTGTTTCAAGAGATTATCAAGATAGGGGGATTTCAAGTTTCAAAGGTTAGTAGTAGGGCTGCAAGTTGGGCTGACCCAACCCAGTCCAGCCCCAACCCAACCTCAACCCGAATCGGGTTGGATTGGACTAACCCGAATTGTACTTAACATGGGTTGAGATCATAACTCGGATCAAATTTTTTTGGGCGAGTTGGGTCGGGTTAACGGGTTGAATTTTTTAAAAAAAAATTTATTTTTTAAAAATTTAATTATATATATATATATATAATTTTTTTTTTGAATTTATATATATTATATTTTATATATATATATATGTACATTATATATATTTGATTTTATTATTATTAAAAATATATATTTTTTTAGGGCAATTATTTCTGCCTCCCCAATCGCCTCAATCTCTCCTCATTCTCTACTCTGAAATTGCCCCCCCCCCTCTCTCTCTCTCTCTCTCTCTCTCTGTGCAACTGCAAGCTACAAAATCAACCAAGAATCACAAGTTCAAAACCCATATATTTCTGTTTATCCATCTTTCTGCAAGAATCAAAAGTTCAAAACCTATGGACTTTCTCTCTCTCTGCAACTGCTAACTTGTATGTATGGGTTTTGTTTTAATTTATTTTTGGAAGTCACGACGGCGGAGGGACACCGACGGTGGATCAGTGGCTGACGCGAGGGATGCCAGCGGCAACGGCAGAGGAACGCCGGCGGCGACAGAAAGAGAAAGAAAAAGAAGAGAGAGAAAGAGAAAGAAGAGAGGAGAGAGAAAAGAGGAAAAAAAAAAAAAAAAATTAAGCCCCCCTTTCTACTCTCAGGTTTCGTCGACGGCGGCAGAGACAGAGAGAGGAAGAAGAGAGAGGAGAGAGAAGGAGAAAAAAAAAATGGATTTTTGGTTCGGTTCGGGTTGAGCCGAGCCCAACCCTAATACGTCTGGGTTTTGATAAAACCCAACCCAAACATGAACCCGATTTGTGAATATAAGCCCCAATTTCAAATTTTTTGGGTTGGGCTTGGGTTGGGCTGGGTTAACCCGCCCAAGTTGCAGCCCTAGTTAGTAGTGCTTCCGAACATGTGCGGCGTAGTGTAATTGTTTCTTGTGTATGGTTCTACAACTGGTTCAAGAGATTATCAGGATAGGGGGCTTTCAAGTTTCAAAGGTTAGTCATGCTTCATTGGAAAAAAAAAGGTTAATTAATGAATTAAGGTTTTTATTAAGTTTATACAACTGTAGCAATAAAACATTATCTTTTTTGGCAAGTTAGTTAGAATTTTATAAAGATCAATATACACTCTCTTGGCTAAGAAGTCTAAAGCCGGAGAAGGAAAAACCCAAGAACAAAACGGCACTCTGACAACCAAACAGGCTAGGAAAAAAAGTAGAATCTTTTACAAAAATATATGTTCTTTTTTAAGACATTTGATTAATTGTATAGTTTTATGTGCTCTTACATGGAGAAAGCAAAGTTGATTCCCAAATAATGGGAGGAATTCTAGTAGAAAAACCAGTGATAGAGTAGATTCAAGTATAAAATGATAAAAACACCTGTTTCCAAGAATGCCATGCAACTGTATGACAAGCTTTTCCTCTTCAGGACTGAAGGGACCACGTTTAATATCTGGCCTAAGATAGTTTGTCCACCGAAGCCGGCAACTCTTTCCACAACGAAGAAGACCTGCAAACATAGAAACTGTCACTATCCATATAAACACAAAGTTGTTTCACCTTCATCTTTTTTCTTCTTTAAGAACCCAAGGTATGTTCCTCCGGAAGCTGAGGACACTTCTTCCTTTACACAGGAACACCGTCCTTGCATATTAAGAACTATCTTTAAATGATAATCGGTAAATTGTTTTAGGGCACAGTTACAATTAATAGTCTTCCTAAAATACGATTATAGTTAACAACACTAATATGGCAAAAATAATTAAACTACATATGAAGCGATGGGCACAATGAAGCTCAAGGATAGAACTTTTGAAGTTAAAGTTCATTTGGCCCAAAGAAGAACATAAATACACATTAATTCGCCAAATGCGTATTCAAAGTTTAACAAAAGTGGCTAGTTACAAGCATTGCAGGTCCCCCATATGCCTCTAAGCAAACAAACACCGTCTCATATGAAATATGAACAACAACTATCCTTAATTAGTCAAACATGGAAACGGGTATGCTTTACTATTTACTAAGATCACGTATAACAGTAAAAGTTACCTTTAAGTAACTATCTTGTTACTATCTGAAGTATTTACCATACTTTTAAGACAAAAATCAAAGTAACTTCTTCTAGTAAAACATTATAGTATCTACTTCAAAGAGGCATTCAAAATATAAAAGCACCCAATCTGCAATTGAAAGGCAGGAAATGCATACCGCTTGCATTACTTTCTTTAGTGGTTGAAGAAATGCAAGTATAAAAAGAGTTGAAAATTTGTTCAACAACAACCACCACCAAACCCTTTTCCCAACTACTTTGGGTCGTCCGTTACATAAATCTTATGTTTATGTTTCCATTGCGCTCTATTTAATGCCATACAGTGCACAAAAGAGAACTCTACCAACATGTAATGAAAATTATGGGAAACACCATCTTCCATAATATTGTATTTTAGGACCAATTTTCCTAGACAACTGTAAATGTGTCCCCCTCTTCCCCCAACTGATTAATTAATTTTCATTCTCTATTTTTCCCAGTAACAAAACCCACCCCAACCCCAGATTGATAACAAAAACGAACACTACAACACAATGAAATTTTTTAATACTTGGCCCAAAGGAGCCAGATGAAGCACCATTAAAGTCAGACCACACAATATCACAAAATAAACTTCCAACTATCGCACAAGCAAAAGCACAAAAAGCCAACGAAACGAAATTTAGTAACTGATCACCGTACCATGCTATCGTCCAAAGCCCACCGACTCACCAACTATGTGTGTGTGTGTGTGTGTGTAATATGTTTATGTATGTATGTATAACGAGTCTACTCATTCCAGTTAGTTTAGGTGAACAAAATCTTGGAACAGCCAATGATTTCAATGTAATACCCAGTCAGACAATCGATGTGATTAACTTGCAAGTCGGTGAGTTGAAAGAGTTGACTCAGTAGAGAAACAGAGATAGAGAGGAATAAAACAGAGGGACAGAGAGGGGGGCAAAAGAAGGATGTGGGAGGAATTAACCTGCTTGCTTAGGGAGAGAACGCCAGCTTCCATGGCCGTTGTTGTTGATGTATTTAATGAGAAGTTCATCTTCTTCAGGAGTCCAAGGCCCTTTCTTCAACCCTCTCTTATCACAACAAGGTGATCTCCCCATTCTTCTCTCTCTCTATATGTTTCTCTCTGTTAAATGATCGAACACGTAAATGACAACATACTTTGATGAATAGGCTTTAATCTTTGAAATGAAGTGAGAAGTGAACAGGGAGAGTGATTAGACTTGTCAAGAGAATACTATAGCAATCTCTGGCTTTAAATTGTCATCTATATTCAATGTTGATTCTTTCTAGGGAAATCGAAGTGAGTGGAGAGGACGATCAGCGACTTTCAAGCCGGTCATTATTCACATTTAATACAGAAATGATGTGTGTGTATATATATATATACATATATACACGATTACATATAGGCACCGCCGAGAAAATTGAATCATTGATTCAGTGGAACAAGAAAGTTGAATTAAATGCAGATGTAAGAAAAGAGAGGTAAAGTTTCTAGAGAAAGAGAAATTTGCAGGTCACAGGGGATGCAGTAAAGATGAGAGGGAAAGAGCATTAATGGCGTATTCAAAGGAAAGGACACAATATATATGTAATGAATGCAGAGAGAGAGGGAGCAATATTAATGGCGGTGACAGAGACCTATGCACATAGTACGGAATATGTTTGTGTGTGACCGCGTTTATGGCTGCAAGTCGTGAACAGTTCGGTTAAGCTTGGTTCAACCTCGGTTAAACAAATGAGCCAGTTTGAATTCGAGTTTGATTTCTCTATTAATTGAATAAACGAGTCGGTTTTCAGTAATGCTGATCTCGATTCGTAAACATGAACTCGTGTATATTTATTTTTTAGTTTATTTTTATGAATTATAGACTCGTTATAGGACTCGATTACATTTATTTTTATTTTTTAATAAAATTCTTTAAATTTTGAAATTATAAGATAAATATACAATATTTTACTAAACAAGCTGCTCGAGTTCGAAGACGAACTTGAACAAAATTTTACTATAAATTTAATTTATATTTTAAAATGAGCCGAGTCAAAGCTTTTTAACACCATAACTAATCCGAACTTAATTTTTTAAACTCATCACAAGTCCAAGCAATTTAAGACTCGGCTCGATTCATTTGCAGTCCTAAGTGCGTCTCTCTTGCTCTCATGGTGGTAATAAGTCAATTTAACCCTCCTGATTAAAAAATAAACAAATTTAAATCCCCGTTGTATTTGAAACGATCATATCTTAAATTCAAGCTATTGATGCGATATTCCAAACATACCATAGTGTTAGCAACTTTACTGAAAGTGTTACAAGGAAGCCCAACTTTTACTGGAAGTTTTACCAGGAAACTTGGGGTTTCATGAATTCATTAAGGTATGTCTGATACATGTTTTGTTTTTGATTTTTTTTTTTTTTTTTTTGTCGATATTGTATAGTAAAAAAAACATGTGTTGATAAAAAATATTTTGTTTTGGACTGTGTCAAAATGTTTCGCGATTAGTGACAAAAAATCAAAATACTAATTTAATATTTTTACATGTTTAAAGTGTAGTGATGAACAATATAAAATGAATAAAAGAAAAAAAAAAATTAAAAACTCTTACATTTTAAAACTAAAAATTATTATTTTCATGATTTTACATAAAATAAATCTTACAATAAATAAAAGTTACCAAACATGTTTTCAATTGCTATTTAAAACACTTTATAAAAAAAATAAAAAAATAAAAAAATTGTTTCGAGTTAAAAACAAACCGGAACCAAACAGACCTTAGAGAAAAATTTAAGAGGAGGAGTCTATTGGTGAGTGAGCGCGTGAGTGAAGACAGGTGGATGTTTGGGTCCGAGGTCTGAATAGTGAACAGAGAGAGGTCGTACTAGTGGTATTAATATGTAGTACTGTAGTAGTTTGGTCCCAAATGGGTCTATTCAGCATTCAGTGTATTCAATGCGGTCAAAATTGAAGTCAAAGACACCGGACAAAGTAGTAGAGAGAGAGAGAGAGAGAGAGAGACTGTATTGGCACCCGATTACTCTCACCAACCCTTTCTGTTTTTGGTTAGGATTTAGCCTTCATCAACTCTCCACTGGTAAAAGTTGTAATCCACCGATTTTTCATGAAATTTTTTTTTTTTTTTTGATGAAAGATACTGCATTTTTCAATGGATAAAAAAATAACCATTGCTATATAAAAAATTACAAATAATGCTTTTACTTTATAAAAAGTGCATATAAAGTATTTTATTTAAAATATTTGTAGCAAATGACCGCCATGAGCGACAATTTTGACTAATTTTTTTTATAAAAATATTATTAAAGGCATTTTAGGTATTTCATTCTTTAATTTTTTTAAAGAAAGTCAATAATCTAATTTTTTTTTGTAAAAATTCCCAAAAATTTTAAATTAGTATATTTTATTCGTCTTAGGGGCATTTTCGATATTCCAATTTTAAAATTAAAGAATTGTCCTTATTACTCAATTTAAAAAATTATTGAGAAGTTTTTTGAACACCAAAAGTATTTACACTGGCATTTTTTTTTGCACTATACCCTTAACTAATTATACAAGTCATAAGTTAGAGTCTAATTTAACCATGGATTCAACCCCAAACCAGTTCATTTAACCTTGGATTCAACCCCAAACCAGTTCAAGCTTATTGTACATACTGCAATTAATGTTGCAATAGAGTCACAATTAATGTTGTGTTTAGAGCATCAAATCAGCTTAGATTTTAAAATTAGAAAAAATTTTAATTTAAAATTTAAACTAAGGTTATGTTCGACTACAAATAATTAGAGTCGTAAATTTTTTTTAAAAAAATTAATTCAATTTTTTGAGTTATTTTTTATCAATTTTAATTTTAAAACTTTAATTTCATGCCAGCCTAAATTTATTCAGATGTAAAATCTAAAGCGCTAATCCCATGATCACTAAATTATTTTTAAAAAAATTAATTCAATTTTTTGAGTTATTTTCTATCAATTTTAATTTTAATTTTAAAACTTCAATTTTATGCCAGCCTAAATTTATTCAGATATAAAATCTAAAGCGCTAATCCCATGATCACTAAATTATCATAAAATTGGCATTACTGATGGATTGAGGATTCAAAACCAGTCACCCTCATCGCTAGGCTTGCATTAATTGAAGTGCTGCCTAGAAATAAAGAGGAAAGAGATGACTAGTTATGCACCAAAAAGAAAACAAAAATGCTGTCATGATGACAACACAGAGAGTAATAATGTCAAATGCATTGACTACGGCAACCATTTTTTTGGTGGAATTCATGGAGTAGAGTTTCTCCGTACTAATATGAAGTTTAATTAGAAGCGTTCTTCAATTGAATTAATAATAAAATTTAGGATAAAATACAGCCACACACTTTAAAATTTGATAAAAAAAATATTTAAAAAAAAATTTACTAATTTTTTAGACAAAAACATTCCTTGAAAGTTCAAAAATGAATAAAGTCACCCCATTTACTGAAAAATTAATCAAATTACCCTTTAACTATTTAGGAGACTTTTTTAACTTTACCATTTAATAAATTGGACCAATCTACCCTTATGAACAATTTATGCATAAAAAAAAAACTTTATATTGCTCACTTTTTTTTTTTTTTTTTGTTATTTACTTTATTAATGTCCCAACTTCTTGAAAATGTAGACGTCTAAAATGATTTTTTTGATCTAATACATATATTTCAAATAAATTATATTTTGTTATTACTTCTTTTTTTTTTCTTTTTTATTTTTAAATTAAGATGCTTAATTCTTTCATCTAAAAAAATTAAACCAATCTCTTTTCCTTAAAAATATAAAATATGGTACCAGTATAACTTTATGCATCTTAAATTATATATGAAATATTATGCATTTCCCAACATAAAAGGGGGAAAAAAATAATAATAAAACAAAGGAAAAAAAAAAAAAAAGAGGCATGCATAAAGTTAAGATGCATAAAGTTATAGTAGTACCTATTTTCTTTTATGTTGGGAAATGCAGAATATTTGATATATAATTTAAGATGCATAAAGTTATACTGGTACCATATTTTTTATTTTTAAGGAAAATAGATTGGTTTAATTTTTTTAGATGAAAAATTAAGCATCTTAATTTAAAAATAAAAAAGAAAAAGAAAATAAGTAATAACAAAATATAATTTATTTGATATATATGTATTGGATCAAAAAATCATTTTAGACGTCTACATTCTTAAGCAGTTGGGACATTTATAAAGTAAATAAATAAATAAACAAAAAGTGAACAATATAAAGTTTTTTTTTTTTTTAACTTTTTTTTATGCATAAATTATTCATGAGGGTAGATTGGTCCAATTTATTAAATTGTGAAGTTAAAAAAGCCTCCTAAACGATCAAAAGGTAATTTGGTCAATTTTTTATGTAAAGAGGCTTTGTCCATTTTTGAACCTTCAGGGGTATCTTTGTCCAAAAAATTGATAAGTTTTCTCTGAGTGTCATTTTGTCACATCTCAGGGGGTGTGGCTGTACTTTATCCTAAAATTTGACTGCATAAACAGAGTCTATCCACTATTCTCAACTACAACTAAAAACTTAAGTTAAATGAATAAAATTTTAGTGCATAAATAGAGTCAATCCACTATTCTTAATTAAAATCAAAAGCTTAAGTTATTAAATGAGACTAACACTCAGCCCATATATATACCCATTCACTTTTTTATTCAGAATTGTGGAACAAGCTCCCCTTATTACAATTAGCAACATTGATCAAAAAAAAAAAAATACTTTTTAATCGAAAATACTTGATTTCCCATTCATTCAATAAAATGAGCTCTTACCAATTTATGCGAATATATATTGGAAGGAAAGAAAAAAAAACATAGGTTATCTTTTCAAAGTTTTTCAGAAATGGGGAAAAAAAAAAACCAATATTTTTGTCAAATACGAAATTATTCATTGTATTTGGAAGATTTAGAAATAATTCAACAATTATTGATGAATAAACCTTAACAGATTCAAGAGATTTGGACAAACAAAAAAAAAAGAATTTTGTATCCAAAGTCTCAACTATTTTTGTCAATTTGCAGCTACAGCCATAGCCTGTATGGAAAAAGATTCATAAAAAATCACTGAGCAATGACATGGGATCTGCAACAAGTTGATGCTATAATGATCAGAAGCACAAACAAGCTAGCAAGGGTAGAAAAACTAGGGAGAAACCATGAATTTTATGCATAAAGCATAATACACAATCTTTCTAACCCCCCAAAAACAAAAGAAGAGGTCATACTGCATACATATCATTCAATAAAAGACAAAACTAGTCTCAAGTGCAAATTAAACCAAAGGCAATTTTACAGAGGACCTAGCTTCTATCTGGATTTTTTTGTACCATTCTATAATTTTTTTTGGTCCCCTTCAAGGTTTTCAAGGGCTATGAGAAAGCCAGAAATCTAAGAAGGGCTACTACAAGGGTTCTGCATGTTGAAGCAACCTGAAACCTTCCATGAACCAATGCCTCGATTTCGAAATGCAACCCTCAGGTGCTGATATATTATATATCTTCTCAAACAGGCAATCCTGTGAACAGAGCAAAACAGGGACAAAAAACAAATAAGTTATCAATTAGCAAATACCAAGTGTATCTCCAGTATGCAAAATCTAGAAAGAAAGCTAAAATACCTCAAGGATTTTAATTTAATTTAATTTTTTTTTTTCCTTCTAAAAAAAAATATGTGGTTCAGGCTAAAACCTTGAGAGTGCCAGACAGGCATCTAATAAATCACTCATGTACCTACAACGTGGTTTTGTAACATAACATAAGCTAGGTTGGTTACTTGTGTTCTGAAGAATCTCTCAAATCCCTTCATAGGGGCTAATCTCTCATACCAAACATTTCAGCAGAAATAGATCTTTATCATACATATCGATAGTAAGTTCATGACCAGATTAAAAAAGAGGAGAAGAAAAGTTCACGACTAATAACAAATAATCAACTATTCAGGAAAACCCCAAATCTAAATATACATGCTGATTAGCTGATAAAAAAAGGGTTCACATTGACTAGAGAGTGAAAATACAGAGTAAAGATGAGACACTAACAATATAAAAAAGATCCAATAACATGGAAAGGAAAATGAAGCATCCTCATTCCAGTGCATGAAACGTACATAATCCAAATAAAAGCTCCTCTTAGAGTTTTAAACAACTATTTAGTTACCTGTAATACATGAAAATTAATATAAATATTTATTATTTTTTTTTTTTGATAAGTGAAAATTAATATAAACCTTCAGAACATAAATATCACAAATTTACAATAGCAAAAACTAAATTCCAATCTCAAGGGGTCACATGAGTCAATTAAATATTCCAATAGGACACCATAACAAAAACCAAGAAATATTGTAACAAGGACCAACATTAATAAGAATAAAATTCACTTTCAAAAAAATGGCTTTAGAAAAAAGTTGCACTTGCCCCTAATTGAAGTTTGCCACTTGCGATTGTTAAAAATGTGTGACAAATTACTATTGCAACACAATTATTATCAAAAGGGATGAAAAATATGCTATTGTAAATTGACATTTTTCCCACCGATTATCATAATTATTCTCCTCTTCTTTCCTCTCCCGTTCTCTCTCCCCTCTACCTCTTCTATTGCCACCTCCCCCACCACTTACACTGCCACAATAATAAATTTTATGGTTGACAGAAAAATCAGGTGGTGGGGTTTCATCTTCAGTGTTTAGGTAAAATTAGGTAAATGAGGCCCTCAAATGGGATGACAATCAGCCCAAGAATCATCCGGATTGGCTCCCACAGAGTAAATAGTTTCCATGAAAATTTAGTTTCTGACATGAAGTTATGGGAGGGGAAGGAGCAGTCAAGATCGTCATGGCAGTGGTTGAGGAAGTTGTATAGGCCATTGACAGAAGCGGTGGTTGAGGAAGAATGATGCATCATTGGAAGTAAGAAAAAGATGGTGTGGTGTGAAAAAGGCGATGGAGATCGATAGGAATTTTATTTGAGAAGTAGTAGTAAACACTTTTATGATATATAGCATCAGAACTCAGGTTTTCTATATGATGGAAAGAATTGATTGTTGGGCATAATTATGGGCGTTTCCTTTAGAGTGGAAGGGACATTTAGAAATCAGCTATTAACATTTTTTAATGGATAGAAATGTACAGGTTGAAAAAAGGTTGTGTGTGTGTGGGAGAGAGAGAGAATGGAGTATATTGTCCATAAAACAAGGACTGTCTGTAATTTCATACATTTTAAGAGTAATAAGGTCATTTCACACAGTTTGTTGGGTATTTTGGTTAGTACATTCAATTTTCAGAACGAACTAACAGCAATTTGGACAGAGAGTAGTCATTGTTATCAAACGCCAACATTCAAGGGAGCATGGTGTAACTTTTTCGAAAATTCATCCCGAGTGTAATTTGACTTGACCTAATGGGAGGTCCATGTAATTTACCCTAATAATAAATATGCATGTCTAGTTGAGAACCGTCTCTTTGTATCATAAAAGTACCACATAGGAAACTCAGCACTGAAATAATTAAAAGACCCCACCAAAGTGTCTCCTCCGCCTCCTAGAGGAAACTTAGTATTGCAGTCCCAATAACAAAACTGAAATGGGAACATAGCGCTAGAACATCGCAATTACTCACCGTTGTTACCAATGTGGACCACATATCAAGATAACAATCACATCTTCAGCGACAGTAAATAGCCTGATCTATATGCGGAGGAATCTGCTTTATCTCAGTACCAAGTTCTTGCTCAATCCTATACCTGTTAAAGGAGAGCATAAGAAATTATCGACTCCAAGAAACAACCTAAAAATTTTATTTTTAATTAAAGGAACAATATACATACAAGTTAAAGCGGTCCTCATACGTGATCAAATTCACTGCTAAACCAAGGTGTCCAAACCTCCCAGATCGACCAACCTGTATGAGAAAAAAAATATATCAGCAAGAAAATAGAACAAATGCAGAGAGACAAAGCATATGGAAATTAAGTCTTACATACCCTGTGCAAATACGTCTCTGCGTTTTTTGGAAAATCAAAGTTAATAACAACATTGACCGCTTGAATGTCTATTCCCCTTGTAAACAGATCTGCAGTTCCATCCCATAAAAGTAAAGTAAAGCACAGTAACAATCTGAAATAGGCATTAAGCTACAAGAAAAATTGACTAAACAAAGCTTTTTCCAAACTATTTGGGATCTAATCTATTTTAGTAATTCTATTGTAAAACGCACATACAAAAAAGGGGCAGAATGACAAAATTGGACTGTTCCAAAATTCAAACGAAGATCGGGTGCAATTGTAAAAACAGATGTACTATCAGTGTAGGAAACCGTACAAAGGGTGCATAGGTAAGCAAAAACCAAAAAAACAAAGATTGGAAGTAATTATTAGTTGTGAATATGAATTAGGTTTGTTGTTGAACAAATCCAATATCTGAAACATATGATCATTTTCAGTAGTGAATTTAAAAAGATCTAAAGATATATTTGAAATGTCTAAACAATAAGCAATAGATCATCTTTTGTACTCCTTTCAAAATTATTAATAACTTATCACACATTACTCGGAGCAACATAAATAACAATAATAAGTATGCCATGCAATGTATTTACAGAAAATAGTGGTGGCATCAGCATTATAAAAACTACAGCACACCAAAATATCTTACCTGTACAAACAAGATTCCTGCATGCACCATTACGGAAATCATGAAATACTCTGTTGCGATGATCTTGAAGCATCTTCGCATGAATATAGAAGCAAGAATAACCAAGCTCTGTAATTTTCTTTGCCAGCAGTTCTACCCGATTCACCGAATTGCAGAAAATGATTGATTGGTTGATTTGAAGCTGTAGAGACACTAAGAACATACATTATCCGTGAAAAGAGCAATTAACTGAGCATCCTCCAGTTAGAAGACAAACCTTTGAGAAAAGAGTGTTTAGGCAGTGAACTTTTTGTCTTTCTTCGACAAAAGCATAAAATTGTGTTATACCCTTAAGAGTAAGCTCATCCATAAGGTTGATAATATAGGGCTTATGTAAATATCTGTCTTTGAAATCCTTAACAGTAACAGGAAATGTGGCTGAAAACATCAAAATTTGTCGATTTGCAGGCAAAAAACGAATCAGTTGCTCTATTGACGGTTGGAATTCTGGAGATAAAAGCTTATCAGCCTGAAAGACATTAAAGGCACATGCCATAAGATTCTCGCACTTTAAACATTGAACCCAAGTATATTAAAACCATGATAGAATATACATAACTAATGTTACTTAAATCTTGAATCCATACTGGTGCCAAAACTTTATTCCAAGCATCTAACTTTTAACAATTATAAAAAAGTAAGGAGGGCGGACAAAGTGCGATTAATAACCACCGAGCCTTTAGCTCAAGTGATATATCCTCCACTTTTCAAATGGGAAGTTATAATCGAGTAATACAAGATATTATTATGTCAAAACCACAAACTTGTGAGCAAATGTTTTCCACTGACTTTTGTTCTCTCAAGGGAAAAATATTAAAAAATTAAACTTTCATGCATATCAATCTCCAGAAAAAGAGATGCTCAACCATGAAAAAATAAAAATTAAAATTAAAATTTAATGACAACCCATATAGCCATTCAAAATGACTTCATTTGTCAACTTTCTAAATCAAAACATGACACACACACACGGAAAAAACACAAATGTTGGCCACTGGATAAACAAAATTAATGAGATCCAAACCTCATATAAATTACCTCATCCATAACAAGCATTGAGCAGTCTTTTAAAATGCAGACTCCCTTTTTCGCAAGATCTAATATTCTTCCAGGAGTTCCAACGAGTAAATGAACTGGTTGATACAAACGCATTATATCATCTTTTAAGCTGGTTCCACCAGTAGTAACCATCACTTCAATTTTCAAGTGTTTCCCAAGCTCCTTACAAACCTGTGACGTCTGAAGAGCCAATTCTCGTGTTGGAACAAGTATAACAACTGCAAAAAGAGGCAGACCTCAGGTATAAAAGCAATAAGAACCCAAGCTAAGTATTGAACAAAGCCAAGAGTAAATCCGGACTAGGCACATGCTTAAATAGAATTCTAGAAGTTCATGCTATAGCTAGACAAGTATCAAGACCCAGAATGGATACAGGAATTACAATCAATCAATTCAGCCTAAAAGTTTAATATCACTGTTTCAGATACGGTTCAAGTTTGACCTGACCAAGTGTAGGAAGCCATCTACTATTGGGCCATGATAAATTACCGGTCAAGGAGCTCGCAGAAAGGAACCACCTACTGTTGGCGTTGGGCCGTGATAAATTACTGGTCAAGGAGCTCACAGAAAAGATTATCCTTTCTAGGTGTTCAGATCCAATGGAACTAACTCAATTTGCCCAAATGCACCAGCAAAATATACCAATGGAACTAACTCAAATTTCTAAATAACCGCATCTACATTTCTTTAACTTGTAGTTGAATTTCTTTTTTTTTCTTTTCTTCTGGCAATTATAATCAAGATGATCATTCATCCAACTGCAGTAACCCATCCATGAATTAATCTACTCATATAGTCATCTAATTTTAGCTCCTAAAAATATTAGTAAGAGAAAAATACTCTCTTCCTAAACCAAAAAAGTACTGCACTTGTAGGAGATAATATTTCCAGTCAGGTGCCCCTAATAGTGCATTTATTTGTACTTGCAAAATCTCAGGCTGTCAAGTGTGAGAATGTGGGTTAAAAATCTAATAACAGCCGCTTAGTGCAAAACGCAAATAATGTTCATGTTAGATATATATCCAGTCTACTTCTTCCAGCACCAGCACTCTTGTAACAGGGACCACATTACGTACTCATCAAAAAAACAAAACAAGGACCACATTACGTAATAACCCTTCTACATACGTAACATACCTACATGATGATGTAGAACTCAACCAACACAGAGAATGTTATATCATATATTTCCATAAGCAATGTCAATATCATAAAAATACTACATACACTAAGCTATCAAATGGTTGAGATCAAAACCTTGAATAACATTGTTATCGTGATCAATTTTTTCCAATGCAGGAATGCAAAAGGCAGCAGTTTTCCCAGTTCCGTTTTTAGCTCTAGCAAGAATATCGCTTCCCGTTAAAGCAATTGGAATACTTTCCTCTTGGATCGGTGATGGACTTTCAAACCCCTTCTCATATATCCCCATAAGCAGCTCACGCTTCAGGAAATAGTCTTCAAATTCATTTCCTTTGGTGGCTGTCACATCCTGGAAGAAAAACATGGAATAGCTCATCAGGACTGACATTAATGTCGATCGAAAATGACTATATATCTGATCATAATGCTCCAAAAGAAAAATAAGCGAACATCATAGAACTAAAATCCTAAACTAAGAAATGAAATGAATAAAATTGTTTCTTGTATGGTATTTTAAATTTTTAATCATACCTCCGTCCTATACCGAGTATCAGGCGGCGGAATTTTTAGCCGTGCCTTCCAATCTTGTGAACTAAGGACAAAGGCAAGATAGAATGATAATTAAGATCTTGTCACTGAACAAACAAAACAAAATTATCTAACAGAAAAGCAAAGAAAAAAGGATGCTGTACATACAGTAGTCACTTTAGTAAACTTTTAAACATCAAGTACATACAAAAAAAAAAAAAAAATTGATAAGTAAGATTTTATTAAAAACGCTCAAAAGGGGAGCGGAACCCAAGGAAACACAAGGGCCACAAGGCGCCTTAAACCTTCTAAGAGGCCAAAAATACAATAATCTCCTCAACAGATCTATAATCTCTCCCTGGAACCCAACAAAAAAGAGTCGAAATAATAAAAAACTTAAGCGTAGAAATAGGTTTCTTCTTTCCATCAAAATATCTCCTATTTCGCTCGAGCCAAATGCACCACCTAATAGAAAGAGGTGTAGCCCTCCAAGCCTCCTGAATGAGAACCCCAACAGAGACACCTCTCCAAGCCTCAATCAACCCTCTAGAGGAACAAGGCATAACTCAATGGACCCCAAATAATCCAAGCATCAAATCCCAACAGTCTCTGGTCATGCTGCAGTGCAAAAGAAGGTGGTCAACTGTCTCCTCATCACACAAGCACATATAACAATAATTGACCACCCCCAAATTATCCTGGGTTAAAATCTTGCCCTGGACAGAAGTCCAAGCGAAAAAGGCTACCTTAAGGGGGGCCTTAGAGCAACTCCAATGCTCTCTCATTTGGGCCTCTCCAATGGGCTCTTATTTGAGCTCTCAAAATTTGAGATTCTTAAATTTCTTCTCATATATGGTAGCTGCCAAATTTTTTTGGCAAGTCTCTCATTTCTCAAAACGGTGCCGTTTCTCACCAATCATCACCCACTCGCATCTCTATATGTATATTATATATATAATATATAATATACATATTATATATATTATATATATAATATATAATATACATATTATATATATAATATATATAAACCGAAAAAAAAATTATATAAAAAAATTAATTCACAAATAGTGGTAAAAAAATTATAAAAAAATTGTTTTTTTTTTTGTCCTTTTTTGACAAGATATTTTAGATTTGTACTTCTTTTTAATTAGGTTTAATTTTAGTTTCCTTCTAATGTCTACAACTTGAATTGGAATGTGCCTAATATTAATATTACTGATGCAAATATGAATGGTAGGAATGGCAGTTGAAAAAAAATAGTGGTTGTGTTAAAAAATAACATTTTGCGTGAAATGTACCATTGGAGCAGAATTGTTAAAATGTGACATTTTGGCACTGTAACATCTGTCAAAATATAGATTTAGCATGCGAAAATAGGTTTTAGCATTGGAGATGCTCTTAGATCGCCAAACAAAATTAGAAGATACCTAATGAAATGTGTTAAACCAGAGAAAGACTACAACTTCAATTTTGAAGATAATAGAAGATTAAATTAATCAAATCTCCTCAATTTCTTTGCCTTCCTCTTATCCCCTGCCCAAAGCATTGTCCCTGATTTCTCACTTTACCTATCCTTGAAGCTTATCTTACTTGGAAATCTACTTCAACATGCAAATGAAATGAAAACGTAAAAGTAAATAATTATAAACCCTGCAAATTGGTTATATGATATATATACTGTAGTTATCCATGTCTAACATGTTTTATTGCAATCTAACGAAGCATTTTTTCTGAACCCTTTTTTACTCAACAAAGTAGTTACTATAACCTACCAATAAAAATAATTATTTTATTTTTCACTTATGTTTTCTGTACCTCCAAAAGCAAATAGTCTTCAATATGATTCTCCAATCACTTGTTTATGTGCATTTGACTCATTTAGTTTCAAGATCTATTCACTTCAATACTTCAATGCCTAAGATACCAATCACAAATATTTGCTGAAAATCTATCTTTCAAAACCACAGGCCTCAGTTCAAGTTTGTTACAACTTGGTGCTTCTGTTAGCAAATTTCGTGACAAAAGTATCAGTTTAGACATAGTTAACCCTTCTCTTTCCCTTTTTTTTTTTTTTTTTGAGTTAGTCTAGGTGAAAATATATATTGATTTAACCCTGCAGATGTTAAAAAACATGTTGATTAAGGATATACAAAGTTTGATGAAGACTGAGTAATGATCATAAGGGTTCTTTAATAATGGACTAAGAATGACTTTGATCACATCACACACATTAGAATAAGGTATAATCTTTAAATGAGATTGACCGACAATTTAAAATATGTTTCACCGCTAATTATAAGTTGTTTTTAAGTATTTGAAAACTTTATTTTAATAAAAAATTTGTCCAAAAACTATGTTACATGGACTCTTAAAAAGTAGGTGAAGTGCCCGTGCCATACATACAATACTTAGATTTGGGTAACTGAATATGTGATATGTGTCCGATACTTTTGGTTAGACATTCACCAAAAAAACATATCCAATAATTCAATAACATTATATTATTGCTTCAAAAAGAGTAGTTGCCTATATTGATCCATAAGCATTATGATACATAAAAACATCATTTTATTATAAACCATAAAATAAAAAAATTAATAATATGATTAATTTTTCTTTTTTTTACCGTTTGGCCTCCCTCTTATATTTTAGAGTTTAGACTGCTTACACTCAAGTAAACTCACTCCTTCACAACTGTGCTTTTTCTTTCTTCTCTCTACCAGTCTCGAACCTTGACCTGTGACTTGGAATTTAGGACCCAAAGCAACCAGAACAAAGGTAGACCAGTTCCTCCACAGTCCACACTAGTGCACTGGTATGCATTCCACATGGCCTACCATCTCAATCAATTCCCTTCATCGTATCAGCAATCCGCACCACTTCTAACAAGTCCAACATTCTATATTGTAATGCATAACTCTTTGTGGCTGTCTTGGTCTGTCCTCCTACCTTATAATGTGTCAAAATTCTAAAGGGGAAAAAAGGCCCCTGAATAAGATAGGTTATTGCAAGAGAACTAAAGAGACAACTGTTGTTTGTTAAGAATGTCGTGAATCAAGCACCGCACCTTGTCTCTAAGTTTTTTAATCTGAATCATAAAGAAGTTATCTTAATTTGTTACTTCAGCATAAAGAAGATTCTTAATCTGCAATTGCTACTTAAATTCAACATTGAATAACAGCAAAACCGGCAATCATGGAATCCCTAAAGGAATACCAATTCCCTTTTCTAATGCATGGAATTTTCAGTGTAGAGTCTGAGATTTCTATCATCAAGACATCAAGACGTAAAAAGCTAACCAGTCAATGGCTTATACTATTCAACCAGCCGGCTCAGTCCAGTACCTCTAGTGCAGACCCAAAAACCTCAAAGCTCTAAAATAAATTCTCAATGTCATGAGTTCAATAATTTACATCAATTTATTTCTAAAACTAACCAACTTCCATGTACTAAATGAATTATTACATTTCCCTGAAACTCAGTGTTAATCAATTAAAACCATTAAAAAGTACAAACCAGAATCGTATCGTTCATGCATATCCATAAAAATACTTCTGCATATACGAAACCGTACCTCGAATCAACGGCTTCCGACTGCACGGTCTTTTCAACTTCATCGAGGCTCGAATCGGCCCCCAATTGATTCCTCCTCAGCCACTGCTGTTGTTGTTGATGCTGTTGTTGTTGATGCTGTTGTTGCTGATGCTGCTGTTGTTGATGATGATGTTGCTGATGCTGAAACTGCTGATGGTTCTGCATTGGACTCCTCTGCACATACTGTTGGTGAGGGTTTCTTGGTTGAAAAGTAGGGTTTGCGTTGAAGTTCCCACCACGGCCACCGCCGAACCCCCGAGGATACTGTCCTCGCGTGTTCATTACAACAACAATTGAAACAAAATCCTACCGATTCGATCAAAATAGCAAACCGAAACCCTAACAAATCGATCAAATTCAACAAATAGAGAAAGAATATACAAATAAACGGTGGTATAGATTGAATAAAGCTACGGATTTCTTGTAAATTAAACGAAAATGATGAGCGTTAAGAGGGTCAGTATTTACGATAGAATTGGAGATTTGAAGCGAAAAACAAAGTTGTTTTTTCAGATGGAGAGTGAATGAAACTGAACGATTTCGTTAGTTTAAAATGAAAAAAAGATTTAGAGAGAGAGAGAGGGGGGAGGAGAGTGTGGTGGTGGTGGAGACACAGAATGGGGGTGATACAGTGGGAATTCTAGGGCGTCACAGGGTAGTTAAATTGCTATATGGTACCAATATTTAATTGGTTTTCTAGAACTTCCCAAATGGTCATGTTTTTTTGGGGTCAAATTGGTCAACCACAAAATCTTCTTCTTCTCTTTCTCTTTTTTTTTTTTTTTTTTTTTTTTTTAAATAAAAATAAAAAAAGATAAGGTATATATATGTTGGTTTGTAGAATACAATTCGCCTGCAACAGTAATTAATCAAATCCTTTTTCTTTTTCTTTTTTTAATTTGAGGGGACCAAAATAATATGAAAAATAATATAATTTTTGCTTTTTAAGTAAATTAAAATATAATCAAAATAGTAAGTCTAGTAACTTACTGCAACTATTCAGTATAAGAATCATTTTTCAATTAAAATTGGTAAGTTAAATTGACCCTTTTTAAGATTAGCTTTTATTGCTGAGTAAATCCTAGGTTTAGATAAATTTACAAAAACACATTAATAAGGTGAGTGTCCGAACTCAGAGTATTATTAGAATTTGTTGTGAATTGGCATTTTTGCTCTTTTTGTTTTTAATCGAAAATATTGTAAAAAGGTAAGTGCAAAAAATTCCCTAATATATACACTATACTCCACATAATATCCACATAATATTTTTATCCCTATTTATAAAAGTGTGCAAAAAACACTCTTCACGTTAACATCCATCAATTAAAAATCTTACATCGATAAAAAAAAAAAAAAAAAATTAAAAAAAATTAAAAATCTTACATAAATTAGTATTGTAATATATGTTTTGCCCTTTTTACTCTTCCAAAAATATCGAAGGGGTATACATGCTACTAATCTCATAATAGACGAGTGTTATGTGCACATGAAATGCAATATATATATATATATATATTGAATTATTGAATTCTTAATAATTGTTACCTTGGAAATTATTGAATTCTAATTATTTACCAAATTATTGCACATGAAATGTAATAATTATTTATTTATTTATTCCGAGCATGAAATTGTCGAAAATTTTATATGATATATATTTTTAAATTCAATCTTATTTGAAATTCTTTTTTAATTCAACATAAATAATCCTAACTTAAATACAAAAATCGTGCCAATATATATATATATATATATATATATATATATTGGTGGTGTAGATGTAAAAATTCTCGCGACTCGGAACGACGGCTTTTAGCTGCAAAATAAAGGGACGTCACCTCGAATGGCACCGATGGGGTGCCAGGCAAAGACCCTCTGACGATCAAGTTAGTACTTGTAATCATATCACATAATAATTATTTATATCATGTTTAGGGGTTTTTTCACGTACCTTCTTTAATGGCTTGGTCCCCTATTTATGGCTGTCGATTGGAATCAAATTGGTTCTGCCAATGTCGATGGTTAAGGTCTCCCTTATCATCCGCTTGTGCGAGATAAGAGAAGATCCGTTTGTTGCCAGATTTGTCGAGGATATGATTTACTCATTTGACTTCCTCAAATGTGCCAAGATTATCCTTACCCTGTTGAACTACGTCATATTTCATTATCATTGATAATAAAATATTATCAGTCTTATCCAATGGAAATATTTTCCCTATCAGTTGCCCCCCATTCCCAAGCTTGCTCGTCTAGCTTTGGGAATGTGATTTTTTTTTTTTTTTTTCTTGCCCTGGTAACAGTACCCGCGGGTACTGTGCACATGAACAGTAACTACTTTTTTTTTTTTTCCTACCCTTGGGTACTCTGCCATCAGGTAATGTTCCCTTGGGTAATCTTTCATCGGGTAATCTTCCATTGGGTACTATATTTTAGTACCCTTGAATACTCTTCCCTTGAATATTATTTTTGGCACCCTTGGGTACTATTTTTTGTATCCTTGGATACTCTGCCCTTGGGTACTATTTTTGGTACCCTTGGGTACTCTGCCCCTGTGTTGGATATTATTTTTAATACCCTTGGGTACTCTGCCCCTGGGTACTATTTTTGGTACCTTTGGGTACTCTTCTCTTGGGTAACGTTACCGTGGGTAATCTTCCCTCAAGTAATATCCCGTGGGTATTCTTCCCTTGGGTAATCTTCCCTGAGGTAATGTTACCGTGGGTAATCTTCCTTTCGGTAATCGTCCCTTTAGTACAGGATATTTATTTACTATCCCTTATAGTATGTGGATATTGATTACGGGATTCATTCAGTCGGGTCCTTTTAGTACAAGACATTTATTTACTATCCCTTATAGTACCAGGATATTGATTTCGAGATTCATTCAGCCCGAGTCCTTTTAGTACAGGATATGTATTTATTATCCCTTATAGTACGGGAATATTGATTACGGGATTCATTCAGCCTGGGTCCTTTTAGTACAGGACATTTATTTATTATACCTTATAGTACGAGAATATTGATTACGGGATTCATTCAGCCCAAGTCTTTTTAGTACAGGATATGTATTTATTATCCCTTATAATACGGGAATATTGATTATGGGATTCAGTCAGCCCGTCTCTTTAGCAAGGGAATAAATTTTACGAGCTTCACTCAGCTCGTTCATTTAGTAAGGGAATTAATTACCACATAGGTATAACATGTGAGAAGGAGGAACATTTTTTGACCCGACCTTTGTAGGTTAAGTCCTGATCTCTGATGACCATACTTTTGTCAGTTAGGCCCTAGTTTTGGTCTCTGATGACCAGACTTGGGGTGATCAGGCACTGATCTTGGATGATCGAGCCTTTGTAGACTTTGGGCAATCAATTTTTAATCTTAGTTGATTAGGCCTTGGCTTCGGATAACCAAGCCTTGATTTATGGTAACCAAGGGTTGTACCCTTCCCGGTGTGTAGAGACTTACCAGGTTATGGTTTCGGAGGATCGGGCACCGGTCTTGGACGACTAATGCCCCCGAGGGGTCGCTAAAGGAAAGAGACTAGAAACCCGACTAGCTCGATGTACCAAGGTTGGTACGTCAATCTTCTAAACCTTGTCATCATATGTAGATCGACGATTGATATCGTATGATCCACTATTCTGCCCCCGATGGTGGGATCTTGGGTGATGATCCATTCTATAAACGTTTATATAGCGGACGGAGTGTCTGGTGCTGCAACAATTTACAATTGTCTAAAAACATTTGATTGTGTTATAAATAATTACTGAAAATTAACCTACAATGGATTATCAATCCAAAATTCTGCATAATCTGAAGTCGATAAGCAATTTCTGCAAGGGAAGAGAGGTGACAACTGTCGTCTGGTAGGTGCAGGCTTAGTGTCTAGCGACTGGCTTGATGCCTGGTGGATAGGGGCATGGTACCTAACGGCTGACAGATGACGGTCTGGTGGCTAGTACCAGATGACAGTCCGGTGGCCAATACCTCGTTGGGTCCAATGATAGCCCTTAACTTACGAACCTCCTTGGGAATACAAACCTCATTGGACATGGAATCTTGAGGGACATTGGACCTCCTTGGACCTGAAGGCCCTGATACATTCTTGGGTGTAGAAGGCCACCCTGATTGCACGAACAGACGGAGTAATTAGATTTCGTTGCTAGAGACATCCTCAATAGTAGAGGCTTTACTAGTAGGTAGAGACCCCCTTGTTGGTAGTGATCTTCTTGATGGGTGGAGACCTACCCATTTATGTAAGTACAGGAGGACCAGGCCTTAGTCTTTAATGATTAGGCCTTGGTAATTGGCTGCTGCCCGATATGAGATAGAGTCTGGTCTTAGACGACCAAACCTCAGTAGTGAGGGGACCAAGCATCGCTAGATGGAAAACACCACATTGGACTGCCTGGGTCGACGTGCCAAATTTTGATTATTGTCATCGTATATTGGATGGCATCGCGCAACCCACCGTTCTGCCCTCAGTATAATGGACGAGTAATCATGATGTAGAGACCCGTCCTTATATAAGAACATGGAAACCCGTTGTTAACTGATGACTTTGGGATGGTTTCCATGATCGGAAACTTTCGTCTTGCCGTCAAAGCCAAGTCGCGTCAGGATTATTATTTCTTCATAGAACTAATCGGTTCCCACAGACGGCACTAGCTGTTGATGCGAAAATCCTCGCGACTCGGAATGACGGCGTTTACCTGCAAAACAAAAGGACGTTACCTCAAATGGCACCGGTGTGGAGCTAGCCAAGGACCCTCCGATGATCAAGTTAGTACTTGTAATCGTATCACATAATAATTATATATATTATGTTTAGGGTTTTTTTTCAATACTTTCTTTAATGGCTTGGTGCCTTATTTATGGCTGTCGATTGGAATCAAATTGGTTCCGCCGATGTCGATGGTTGAGGTGTTACGACCCACTCCACCACATGGTATGATATTGTCCGCTTTGGACCTGAGCCAGCATGGTTTTGCCCTTGGGTTTTACCCCAAAAGGCCTTATACCAATTGGAGATAACACACTTACGTATAAGCACTTCACCTTTCCTCTACCCAGACGATGTGGGATTGTGCACCCGTAACTCGCCAATGTGGTAGCCTGACAGTGTCTCTTGCACCCGCTCACGGCACACCCGCCCACAAGGTCATCACAATCCACCCCCCTTGGAGGCCTGACGTCCCTGTCGGCACACTTCCGGCTGGGTCAGGCTCTGATACCATTTGTAACGACCCACTCCACCACATGGTATGATATTGTCCTCTTTGGACCTGAGCTCGCACGGTTTTGCTCTTGAGTTTTACCCCAAAAGGCCTTATACCAATTGGAGATAACACACTTACATATAAGCACTTCACCTTTCCTCTACCAAGGCGATGTGGGACTGTGCACCCTTAGCTCGCCAATATGGTAGCCTGACAGTGTCTCTTGCACCCTCTCACGGCACACCCGCCCACAAGGTCATCACATGAGGTCTCCCTTATCATCCGTTTATGCGAGATAAGAGGAGATCCGTTTGTTGCCAGATTTGTTGAGATATGATTGACTCCTTTGACTTCCTCAAATTGTACCAAGGTTATCCTTACCTTGTTGAACCACGTCATATTTCATTATCTTTGATAATGAAATATTATCATTCTTATCCAATGGAAATATTTTCCCTATCAGGTGGTATAAATAAAAAAGAATTTATTTATTTTTGCATTTCATAGGCAATAATTTTGGTAAAAAATAAAAATTCAATTATTCCAAACGTAACAATTATACAGAAATCAATAATTCAAAAAAATAGAAGTATTGAATTTCATGTGCTAATAACACCTATCTATTATGAGAATAGTAGCATATTACCCCATTGTATTTTTTTATAAAATGTCAAAGTAAGGGCATTTTAGGCTAACTCTACTTTAAATATGTCGATAGGACCTATTTGCACAAATTTGATACATTAGAGGTGTTTTTCGTACAAGAAGGGTGCGATGTGCATTGTAAACATGGTACATGGGCGTTTTATGCACTTGACCCTATTGTAAAACTAAAATAACTAAAACCACCATTAGTAATATGGTCTCACAACCCTACATGTGTATCACTATGCGTCAGTATTTAATAAGCTAGTGATACTATGTCAACACAATAACCAGTGTAATTAAAATTTTCTCATCAGGAGACGCCCTCACTCTAGCCCCATTCTACCGTAGAGATAAATGGTTCTTTTGTACGTGTAAAAAGTTTTATTGAGAGTAAACTGGCTAATTCGAATGTCAAAAAAGGTATTTTTCACAAGATTAAAAGGTACAAAAGTAATTTTATAAGATTATAAATTTTCACAAAATTCGGGCTGTTTTAACAAATTTTCTTTCACCTGAAAAATAGAAATGATATTAGTTATAAGAATAATGATATTGGAACCGAAAACTTGCGCACCGAATGAGCACCGAATTTGACTTGGCTTAGCCACATCAACATCTTTCAACGTCCTCTCAACGAGAGAATAAAATTCAAGAAAAACCAGATCAAATCCATGGTCGACGGCTCATGTACGGTAACTCTACCTACCACATCCACGTCGGCGACTGGACTCCACTAAGCGACTCCGATGACGGTCGGTTGGTCGTCTGGTAGGGGTTGGCTGACCCACTCCGGCTTTTAGTAATATACATCGGACTGGACATTGGTCCCGTGAAGGCGTGACCAAGGCGACCCCATCACCATGATCGAAAGGATTTCTTGATCTTCTTGGACTCGTCCTTCGAATGGGTTTTTGGATCTTGGTGTAAAGCGTATCTTGGTTTCTTGTTCTTCTTGGGTCAAATAAATTTCACACACAAAACACACATATGTACATAACAGATAAAAGTATAAAACCTGAAATAGTCAATCTCTTGTAAGACATTGTGTTCACAAAAATACAGAAATTGGGTCAAGAACTTTATACTTATACATACTATATATATGTGTAAGGTGGGACCTGAAAATATTTAATTTGACAGTTAAATTGTAGGCACTTTGATTCCCTGTTTCTCTCTGTAAATTCTTTCCAATAAACTTTTTTTTTCCTAGTTTTATCGCGTAAAGTAATATTTATTTTTATAGTCTGCCATGGATAAGCTAGGTCACATTCGATAACTCTTTCGGGTGTTTGTTTCGGGTTTCGATCACCACTCTAGTTATAAAATGATATAGAAATACGTAATATATATGTGTGTGTTTTATATTTACAAAAGGACATTTTAATATTTTAAAAAATATATAGAAATATTTATGTAATTATGAAATATAAACCTAGTGGAACACCACGGGATACCCATTACCCATCTCTGTCTCAGCCCGACCGTGCCTATCTCCATCCCAGCCCCGACCGCACTGGACCAAACCGAGCTCATATTCGCTCACCTCATCACTGGATACACCACCACCACCAAACTTCAATTAAGGTAGAGTAATCTGGCATCCTGGTATTAGATGTCTAACGAAACTACCAATTAGATTTTTCATTGGCAAAATATTCATACTTATCTTTGTCCACTTTTCAAATTAAGAGGTAAGAGGAGATACCATACTATAACAAATAGGTCGATAAGATATTGAAAAATAAAATAAATAAATAACGATGTCCCTAGTAAAAATCTCAGTTTAGGTTTATACTGATTTTATTTGGAAATCAAAACATGATGTATCATCCTTCTTCTCATGTTATCAGGTTATTATTTTATATAGAAATTTGTTTTTGTCTATTTTTAGTAAATTGGTTGCATTAATATGCTTTTGTTTGCACTAGAAATTATAATAATAATTTGGGTGGGGGTAACAAAGTATGTGTGCCATGTGCGATCTCTAAATTTAATAATTTATCAAGATCGTATTGAGGAAAAAAGGGTTGAATAGATCGATGCTTTGGTCCCAACAGAAATTACAGAGGAACTTTTCACAGAATACAATCTAAACCATCTAGAGCGGGTTCCTCATCTACGTCTCTCATGCAAGATGAAAATTTAAAAATTTCTCAAAAACAAACCTGTAATTGAAAAAGGGTAAAATAATTCTTTCAGTCTTTTCGTTTCCCTCAGCAAACAAGAAATGTCAATTGCATGCACCATAAATAAAATAAATTTTGCATCCCAGCAAGATGAAACACAAACCACATACTGTTTAACCAATAAACTCGGGGAGAAACAATAGCATCATCAATCGATACACAATAAAACAACTCCATATAGCTATTCAAAGGTGTAATGACATTTATCCTCAACGGTAAACATAACGCGCACCTCTGCAACTCAAGAAGACTCAAACCAGCACATGACCTAAGTACACAAGCACAAGACGTATAAAATTAAGATCCTATTTTGCACGAAAATTAAACTACTCTTAAGGCAAGACACAGATGCCAGAGCAGACTGTAGGAATGCGTTAGCATCAGTTCGGTAACACATCTATCATAACTTGAACGCCCCTATGATTCAGTGATCAGCAACTGAAAAATCTGATTGACAAACTCAGACTATTGTGCGACTTTCATGCGGGGATCATGTTGAACTGAAATCTCGAAAGTTGCTGTGGTATTGTAGATATAACAGGTCCATATCTCTGTGGCCAAGTAACAAATGCATGTTTCAGTATTCAGGAAGTAATAGATTGCAAAGACAATATTGTTCATCAAAAGGTATAGTTGACAGTATAAACACAATATAAAAAGATGAGAGCCAGATCTACCCCAGCCTCCAGTATTATCGGATGTACATATCTAAACAGCTGATGGCATTTCGAAAACCATCCTTCTTGTCATAATACTTTCAGAAGAATGACTTAAAAATTTCACTTTATAGCACTTAACAAGTATTTTTGAAATAAAAATACGAAGGAATAAAAATTAAATGTCTACACACCTGAACGTTGTCGTAGAGTTCAAACAGGGGAACAGCTAGCAGTTTCAGATTTTTTGGCACTGCAAAGTACTCTCTTTCAGACAAGTGAACAAGGAATAGTTTCTTACACTCCTGGAGTGCAAAAAATATTTTCATGTCAGCGGAGATCAAGAGAATGTGGTCTAGAAAGCAGAATACACTCTGAAGACAGAATATCCATTACCTTGGCTTTTGTGATGTGTGGAGGGCAGTATGGGTACATAATAGTTTCAAAATTTGGCCGCCACCAAGTAGCAACGCACTCACCAATCTGCAACAATGCGTAACAAAAGCACAAATCAATTCTCCTGCACAATAATATTATACTCTAAAGCAAGCAAATTCATAAAGTTTTCTACAAAAACGATGCATTTGGAAAACAGCAATGTGGAGATTTCTTTTAAATGCATGAGAGAAACAAAGCAATTTAACTCTACATGACAAGCACATGAGTATGCATCTGAGATGCGCCTAATATTCTGCAGGTGTCCATCTTCCTCATGAATTAGGCCCATCTTTTAAATCTGTCAGTAAAGGAAAAAACAACAATAATGCACACAATCATGGAAGTCATCATTTGCTTCACATATGTCCACCATTAATTGTGCATTTGATTTGAGGAATTGAAGGGAAACATTGTGCAGGTGTCCATCTTCTAGGCACATCTTTTAAATTCCTCAGTAAGGGGAAAAAAACAACAATAATGCACACTATCATGGAAGTCATCATTTGTTTTACATATGTCCATGATTAATTGTGCATTTGATTTGGAGAATTGGAGGGAGGAGGAAGGAGTGGTGGGGAGGGGAAAGAGAGAGAATAGGGAGGGGCTCTTCCTCAACCATACAAAGTTCTCTTCTGCCTAAAATCATAAGGAAAGGAGAACTTTTTTGCCCTTATATAAAAACCATTTTTATTACATATATACATATATCTTGAAAGGCACATATAGATATACACACATGTATATCTTGAAAGGTACATATCATTCTTTTAGCCTTTGTGATGAACCTATTTAATGTGAAAGGAAAAAAAAATAAACTTTGATATAATGATCAAATCACTAATATTCCTTCCCTTCCCTTCCTACTCAACCAAACAAAATGAGAGGAAGGATCCTTTCTTTCCTACATATACTTCTTCCTCCTTCCCACTTTTGCTTCCATCCAATTTTTCATCCTTCCTACCAAACAGACAGTTAAGGGGCCAACTATTGCCTTTGTTTCTCATTTACCCCACACATTTCTTTGTTCGCACAATACTCAATTATTAGAAACAATGAAAGAACAAACCTGCCAATTAGGCTGTAGTGAAGGTGAATTAGCAGCAAGTTTGCTCGACAATTTCCTTTTCAAGCCTTCAATTTCTGCAAAGAACAGACGGTCATATGAGAGAGAGAGTGCCTGAGAGAGATTTTTGAGAGGATAAGGGACAATATCTACCATTTTCTCCGGGCTTCAAACGACCACCAGGGAGTTTGCAAAAAGTGTTTCCAATTTGCAGAAGGAGAATATGTGGGTGGTTATGCTCTTGTACCTGCATAATTAAAGTGAAGTATGTTTTTGTTTACAGGCAGCAATTACAGAAATGAAGCTTCATGCCAACTGACAAATTTTTTTTTTTTTGAAAAGTAAATTTTATAAAAAATGCTCAAAAGGGGAGCGGATCCCAAAGAAAGACAAAGGCCAAAAAACGCCTCAAGCCTTCAAAGAGGCCAACTGACAATTTATGGGCACAATACATCTTTGTAAAATAATGCTGTAACATGGCTTCAGTGAATACTTTCTAAATTAAAGTTAAAGTATAAAATTTATGTAATGCAACTTGAAATTTTAAATGCGAATGACCAGATTAAATTACTATCATTGTTTTTCAATTCAGATACATGTATAGCACATTTCTTTGTGAGGATAAACTAAAAAATAGTCTGACAGTCAATTCCTGCGACTACTGAATTTGTCGTGAAATGGTATTAAGGAAGCAATTTGCATCTAGTTATCCCTGAAACATACTCTATTTTGGGAACGAACTATCATGTCTTCCAAGGATTTCGTTGAGAACTTAAAAGCAGCAACAAAGTAATAGAAAGTCTTTATTACTTCTCAATTCATCAGAATACATTAGATGGCTGGAGGAGTTAGGTAGCAGCCATTGGAAGTTTGCTCTAAAAGAGGCCTGGTGGTAACATCAATGGGTGATAAGTTAGGAGTAGTGGGCTGAGGACATTTTGATTTCCATAATGTTGTGGTAGTGGAAGTAGTATTAGCGACAACCAAGATGGATGCTTGGTGGTACTGTTGCCAGTTGAGGCAACATATTTTTCAAAGCCATATCAGATTATAAAAATTAAATCTTGGATCCATTCACAAATCACAGGATTCATTGCACATATCCTACATAAATCATAGGCCAAAGACAAATCATCTCAAAAAGTTCTTTAGACCCATACGTATCACTATATTGGTCACCTAGGGATGGATTTCATCATGTATTCAACCATAGCTAAATAAAATATAATAAAGGTTATTGAAATTGAATTTTGATTTTACATGCAAAAAGAAAAAAGAAGGCAACATTTGTGAATATTGTGAACACTGACCAGTAGGATTGCTTCAACGCTGGTTCTCATGCCTTCTTTCATATAGCTGTAAATCAAAACCAAAAAATAGTCATTCCATCCATTCTAATTGTAACAAAATAAAATGGGGAACATACATCTCTGTTTTTTAGGTGGGGGGGATCAACATAAACCTATCATAGGAATAGCTACTGTTACCCCCATTAAATACTAGTAACTCTTTGTGAACTTATAATTTCGCCATGCCCACTTTAGTATTAAATGCATTTACCATACTTGTTATTCACACCAAATATCAACTTAATTGGATGTGCATAAGCAGCTAATCCATATGCACTTTTTCCGATAATTATTAGAATAAAATTTTAATTTAATACATGATGTCAATACAACAAATCTTGACGATGATATTTGTAATACATGAGAACCATCGGAGGGACATTCAATCTAAAGGTTGACTTGACGAAAATCACTCATTCTCTCCGAGAAGCTCTTGCCATCAGGTTTGTTTTAGCATAAGTTTCTTTTTAAGTACCAAAATAGCTCATTGCAACATTTTCTGCCTGGATTTCGAACTTCCAACCCAATAACAATGTCTCCAAAGCAGCAAGCTTACATCTAATTTTATTTTGCTTTATAGGTACACACACATAAGCAATTCAAAACCGTGCTTTGCATTACATTATTAACCATCTTATTGATTCGCTTTGTTAAGTTTGCTTCTGTGTATCTCATTACATATATTCCAGCTTGAGGTCCAACGATATGAAAGAAGAAAAAAGGCTATAATTTTATGAGAATAACAAAATTACAAGTGCATTAAAAACCCTAAAACAAGTATAAACCCTGACTTTATTCCATACACAAAATTCAAGTTTTCTTTGAACTTCCGTTTCCAGAACGGAGGGGGAAAAGTGCAGATTACAGTGTATTCTTTGTTCTTAAAGAAACACAAAAAAAAAAAAAAAAAAAGGGAAAAAGAAAAAAGAAAATCAAAACCAGCCAAAAGCATCTTGGGAACTAAAACAAATAAAAGGTTGCGACTTTCAATTTTCCTTTTTATTTCCCGCAGTTTCTTGGTAACCAAACAGAAGGCTAGGGTTATTGTAGATACTGAAAGATAGATAGCGTACGTACTTGACTTTCATACGAGCGAGACGATCCGCGACTGAAGTGTCTTTCTCCATCTTTGGTTCTTTCGTCCCGAAAGTGTAGCTCGATAGAGGGTATGTGTTCACCACTGCCGACATCACCATCTTCACCTTCCACCCTCTCTTTCTCTCTCTAAATATATGTATATCAATAGATTATATACCCGGAGAGTATTTCTCAATCGAACCAGGCTGAGATCATCAGTTTATTTCTATTCTCAAGCTATGTTGAATTTCTGAACTACCGGTAATACCCCCAACATTTTGTTTATTTACCAGGAAAACTCTTTTCATTTCACATAAATGCCCTCGTTAATATTGGGACAATTGGAATAGGTATTCTTGTTAGTCACCCCTTTCTTGATCAATTTAGCTAAAACAAGCCTGTGTTTTTTTATTTTATTTTATGGTTTACACCCACGTCACAAAAAATGATTTTATAAGAATTTACTTGAGTTGTCGCTATAAAACAACTTTATATTTTAAATAATATAAAAATTAAAAAATTGTATAAAAATTAAATGTTTTGAAAATTTAATAGTATAAAAATATGTTTTTAGAGAACTTATCTTTTATAATTTTTTGAAAATGATTTTATGTTTTCTCAAGTTATTGATAATTGTTTACAGTCAAATTAAACAGGCCCTAAAAACATGCTTGGTTTGTCATTCAAAAAATAGAAGTTTGTATTTTCAATTCTTTTAAAATAAAAAACTTTACAAAACTCTCATTGGTTGAAAATTTAATTATAAAATACATATTTTCAAAAAACTGTATTTTATAATTAAATTTTCAACCAATGAGAGTTTTGTAAAGTTTTTTATTTTAAAAGAATTGAAAATACAAAATAAAACTTCTATTTTTATTTTATAATTTTTTGAAAATGATTTTATGTTTTCTCAAGTTATTGATAATTGTTTACAGTCAAATTAAACAGGCCCTAAAAACATGCTTGGTTTGTCATTCAAAAAATAGAAGTTTGTATTTTCAATTCTTTTAAAATAAAAAACTTTACAAAACTCTCATTGGTTGAAAATTTAATTATAAAATACATATTTTCAAAAAACTGTATTTTATAATTATTTTTTATATATTTCTAAATCGTTGAAAATTACCTATTTTATTTGCAGTGACATACCAAATATAACTAAAATTTTCAAATGGTCCAACCTAAAACCAAATACAATCAAAATCACTTATGCATTTCTTGTCACTTGCCAAAATTGACCTCTCAAGCAAACGCATGTAATATTCAGGTCTGAAGTGTCTTTTTCTAAAAAGGCTAATATGGTAATTACACTCAAATATTGACTTTTGTTTCATCCCAATTGCAGACGCTTCTTCCGGAGTTCTCAACACAACACAACACAACAGGGCTGTCAGGGGAGAAAACTCTACAGACAGCATTATGGACGAGGAGATGATATATTCATCAGCCTCAACAGTAAAATTCATATAATTTGATTTTGCTTTCTAATTCAATTCTTGCTACGTATCTATCATTTCATATATCCACTGAACGATTAAATGATTGGATATTTGTGTATACTCGTGTATGTATATCTAATTGTTCGTAATTTTAATGTACTGAAGTTTGGCTTCTTACCCTTTTGTTTTTCTTTGAAAATTGAACATTCAAGTGGCGTAATTGCATGTTTTGTCTAATTGGCTGATTGATATTCAACTGAGAAAATGATATTTTTCAGAGAAGTTTGCTGTTGCATTGCTCGGAAGTTTTTAATGGTTCTTTTTATTTTATTTTATTTTATTAATTAATTATTATTATTATTATTATTATTATTTTTTCTGACCTCATTTCATAACATGCAGCATGAATTGTAATAGGACCCAAGTATTGCCATATTAAAACTTGAATTTACTGGATAAATGGAATAGTTAGAACTCAGTCTATCAATGAAGGGAATACACTCTGATAAGTCTTGTGAAAGTATTCTAATTTCCCAGCTACCTATTCAATGCACCATTTTAGTTCACTATTCTTGTGGTGAGCATGCTAGATTGCCTACACAATAAATTTTCACGATGTAGTTCATGAAACTATTTTTTATGACGTAGGCTATGTAGCATTGCTCATTAAGTTTAATTATGATGCCAGGAGTTAGGGTTGTCTTGAATCTCACCATCTCCCTACCCGGGACCCTGCCATGTCAGGACCGTAAATGGATAATGTCTTTTCTGTACAAGCATTCAGTCACTTAGTGTGTCTTTGTTTCTTTTGATGCTTATTGTTTAACATTGCTTTCCAGTATTTATAAACACAATATCACATCTCACTGGATAACATGGATACATTTCTTCTATGAGTTTCTGTTTAAAATGGAAGCACATTGGGTATTAAAATTTCATAAATATTTTGTTTTCTTAAATAACTTATAGGAGCTTAACATGGTTACTTTTATGTTGCAACTCCTGATTTTTTATGGTGGATTTCAGGACTTAGTGGAAGAACTAAGCAGCAATGAAGTTGAGGTTCACAATTGCTTGATCAAGCTGGTTAGTTTGTTGTTTTTAATCATTTTTTGTTTTTGTTTTATTTTATTTTATTTTATATTATGGATATTAGATATGCTACGAAAACTGAAAAGCAATGAAAGAACTGAGTAAAATTGTTTTGAATTGAAGAGGGTGAATCCTAAAAGGAGAAGGGAAAAGGTTTACATTGGATGTGGAGCTGGATTTGGAGGTGACAGACCACTGGCAGCTCTTAAATTACTTCAGAGAGTCGAGGATCTAAACTATCTTGTCCTGGAATGCCTAGCGGAGCGCACCCTTGCCGATAGCTACCAAGCATTGCAGTCTGGTGCTGATGGTTATGATCCTCGTCGTATGTTTCTATCATCCATCTTTAATTTTTTATTTCCAATATGTTGCTAGGTGTCCTCCACAACTGACGCACTCCATAAGAAACTCTAGAAGTAGCAAATTTAAAGAAGAGATTAGAAATTGATTTTATTTTAAAGTGGTGGCCCACTTGGGACCTTGCGTTCTCGGCTCTTTGTTTTACAAGAGTCTTACTTGTTTAGTTTTAACTTATATGCTGCTGTTCCATTCCATATATGGTCTTTTTTATATTTTAGGAGTTGAAGGTATTTTGATGATTTAAAATTTTTTGGACATGGATTGTAGTAGTAATTTTGATTTATTTTTTGTATTAGGTTATGCTGTTGGATTTTTATATACGGTTTTTGACAGCTTTATATAAGTTGTACTAGTCAAAGTATTCTACTTCCTAATATGCAGTACAAGGCATGTTAGAGCTAGGAATACTTAGAGGTCTATATATTGCTGTACAAAGTTCTCATTTAACAAAGAACAAATTTAGGGAATTTCCAAAGCTTTTTAGTTTGTCTGGTATAATTCTGACTTCTAGTCTGTTGCCCGAGGGAATCAAAGTTTGATGCCAACTGATGCTTCTTCTTCTTTCTTTTAAGCTTATTGCAAATTTTTTTTTTTATAAGTTAAGCTTATTGCAATTTTGTACTTTGAACAAGAAAATTGTCAACCACTCTTTTCATCCTAAACCTTATTTTAATAATCTTATTTATTCCCTTCACAACAGTCCAAGTTTGGAAAAAGAATACCTCTTGTATATGTTTCTTGCCTATAATTCTTACAGAATCAATCTTTTTATGTATTAGCGAAACATAAATTCTCCCAAACAGGTTGCAGTTTTTTTTTTTTTAATCTTTTTTTGTGGGAATACGTAAGATCACGCACACCCAACACACTCAGACACCTGCTATTGCCCCAAGGGGGACTTATACCTCTACCTCCTATGTGGTAGGAGGAGGAAATACAAACATATTACAGCATGCTATTGTTGTTTGTCGGTGACATATCAGACAAGTTTGATAAATGTTGTTTATTAAGTGCTGGTTCTCTTCACACTAACTTTGGAAATGAGTGAAAGATATACACGGATGATAGAAATCAAATTCCAAAGCCTCCCTTCTTATCCCCAAAGAGGGGAAAAAAATAATTGGAGTGGTTAAATGAGAGTTTTGTTTGTTTTTTTTGGTATTTTCAATGATTGTGCAGTTACAGAGTGGATGCGTTTGCTCTTACCTTTGGCTGTGGAGAAAGGAATTTGCATAATTACCAACATGGGTGCAAGTAAGAAACTGAAGACTTGAATCGCCTGGCAAATCTGCAAAATTTGCTTAGCACTTTTAGTCAGTGGCCCTCTTTTTATATATGATTTTGGTTGTCTAAGTAAATATATATTATTTTCTCTGGGGAAGCGAGCGCGCTTGGTGCTCAGGAAAAAGTTCTAGAAATAGCGAGCAGTCTGGGTATTAGCATTACTGTTGGTGTGGCTCACCAACTCGCTATCGCAAAATCAGGTATTCTCTGACTTCCATGGAAGTTATGAAATAAATTCCGAAATTATTTTGATGCCACTTTAGAACCCAATTATGAATAATTCTTACTCCTAGCAACGTCATACATGTATTTTGATTTGAGATTTTTGGCAATTTTTTCTTAATATTCTCAAAAGGTCAATTTTGAGTGCCTGCACATCACTTTTTTCTTCACTTGTTCAGGTCTGGATCATCACCTGATAAATGATATCATGCACGGTGTAAGAAATTAGCACTCCTGAGTATACCTTTTCATTTTGGTAGTGTACAGTCTTTTATTATTATTATTTTATTTATTTATATATATATTTTTGGCGCTTATCTATAGTTCTACGTGTCATTTTTTGAGCTACCATTACACATCATTTTCACAAACATCTATATGATTGTTACCTTTATTTATTGTGTGTGTGTGGGTTGGGGGTGATGAAAATTTTGAGTCAGTAACAGAATTTATGTTTTGTTTCCTCCCTTTTCCTTTTTACCTAAATATTTCATCTTATCTTTCTGTTTAATCCGTGCAGGGTATTAGCACGTACCTGGGAGCAGCTCCCATTGTTGAATGCCTGGAGAAGTACAAACCTAATGTTGTTATTACTTCTCGAGTTGCCGATGCTGCCTTATTCTTAGGTCCAATGGTATGGAACTATCCCCCTCCCTCATCCTCCCTTTTATGTGAGATAGCTGTGTTCTTTTGCAGAATTCTTTGATATATTGGCACATTTTAAATTATTGCAAGTCGATTGATATCATCTTTTGGGGTTGGGGTTGGGGGTTGAAGAAAAAAGATTCATATCTTCCTGCAAGGCATGTGGTGTTATTGGACTTGCATCTCAGAAACTGAGTGAGCGGGTACCATATTCCACTTGATGGTATCACTGGAATCAATTATACTTTACTTAAAATGCTGCACCTCTTTGTGTGATGTGGTGTCGGAAGAGGGTGATCCTTTGAAGGACCGGAGGTCCAGAGGAGCCTACTCAAAAGTATTTTTTTAGGGAGGAGAGTTTATACCAGCTGCGCTCCACTGGTGTGCCTACTCAAAAGTTGAGGAACATCTTTTTGCAAGTCCTGTTTAGTTGGGTTTTTGGGAGGGCAAATTCTGCATTTGAGGTGGAGATTAGAGTCCTTTGAAGGAGTGGAGGGTCTATTCAACTAAACAGGACTTGAAAAACTAATCATCTTTATTTATTTATTTTTTAAAAGAATTAGTTTTCAAGTCCTGTTTTGTTGGGTTAGTGGGAGGGTTAATCCTTCCCTTGATATACTTAAAGAGAAAAAATGACAATTTTCCTTTTAACTTCCTTTCTGAAATCGATTTGAAGATCTCATTGTTTTATGATTAGATTTATGAACTAGGTTGGAATTGGAATGAGTTACAGCTGCTAGCACAAGGGTCTTTAGCTGGCCACCTGCTAGAGTGTGGTTGTCAGCTCACAGGTGGATATTTTATGCATCCGGGTGAGCATTTTGTTTTAGCTTTCTATTAAATCTGGAATTGTGTAGCTGTGTGTTAACCAAACAGAAGTGCAGCATTTGCTTTCCACCTCAGTATAACTTGTTGAAGTGTTCACACATTTGCCCCACTGTAGGAGATAAATACCGAGACATATCTTTCCCATGTCTCCTAGATTTGTCACTTCCTTTTGCTGAAGTTAGTTTTGATGGGAGAGTACATATAGCAAAGGCAGATGGCAGTGGTGGGGTTCTAAATTTTAGCACTTGCGCTGAGCAACTTCTTTATGAGGTGGGAGATCCTGGTGCTTACATTACCCCAGATGTGGTAAGTCAGATTTGCAAATTCTCTTACGATTTATAAACCATGTAAATTTATTTGGATAAAGAAGAGAAGAACTAAGTTTAAACTATCTTCACCTGAAGCAGGTGATAGATTTTCGAGATGTTTCATTTCAGTCGTTATCAAGAAGTAAAGTTCTTTGTTCCGGAGCAAAACCATCTGCTGCACTAAGACCTGATAAACTTTTGCTGTTGGCTCCGAAGGTAATATCATCCTTTCAAGTTCACAAAGTGCACAGTATAAATCAGCAACTGCAGAATTTACTTATTTGCCCGTCTTTTTTTTACTTTATTTTTTTTCACCCTCTTATAAGTTCAGGTTTGTTGGAGCTAGCACATGTATGCAGTTAAACTGGGGAATAAATTCTAAACATCTCCGAGAAAAAAAATTCTTATATGTACTTGTCCCTTCAAGGTCACCCTTGTGTACTTAGAGAAAAACTCAATGAAGTTTGAAGGAATATTCAAAATATGAGAGTTCTAAGCTGTAGCACAAGTACTCATCCACTGGAGATAATATCTCTTGCTTCAGCATTTTTTTTTATTTTATGATGACTGAGCTCTGGGGTACCTTCAATCTCATAGGAAATTGCATGCCAAACCTGTAAGGTGGGACGATGAGTTGCTTTCCTCGAAGTCTGGGAGTGCTTTCGAAAGACAATTTTGTCATTTCCTTCTTTTAGAAAAGCAATAAATTGTCATTTCCTTCTTTTAAAAAAGCAATTGCTGTGCAAGAGTAGAAAAGTTGAGTGATTAAATATCATTTCCATTTTAGATTTTGGTTATTATTTATTTGTTGTTTAGGTTTAGCTATATAAGGCCTTCATGTAATGGAAGATTATAACATTTTGAAAGGTAATAAACTATAAAATATATTGTTCCTCTTGCTTAATCTCTTCCCTCCTTTCCTTCCCGCTTGTTTCTTTCTACTCTTCCATTCTTTCTTTCTATCCTCTTTGAATCAATTTGTTGTCTGGTTTGTGATAAATTTTTGACATGCATCTTGCCAGTGACAATTGAATTTGATGGCGACCATTATTTTGTCATTGTAGTACTTATTTGCACTAATCAATTTATACAATGTGTTTTTCATCTACGTGAGATACTGTTCATTTTCTTTAAATTAATTTCTTCATTTCGAGGTTAGTTGAGTATACACGAGCATTATTTTATTCAACAATACTCTATTTGGCATTTCTAAGAATAATTATTTTATTCAACACCACTTCTTCGCTAATTTCTTTCTGTTGATAATGTTCTGATTCTTCTTCTGTCCAGCACTGTGGATGGAAAGGCTGGGGAGAGATATCCTATGGAGGATATGAATGTGTAAAACGAGCAAAAGCTGCTGAATATCTGGTAAATGATCTTACGCCTTCATAGTATTCTCCTTTTTATTTGTTGTAAATATTGTGCTACTATTATTTCTAGATAAATTAAATTCTTTTTGGGTCAATTAATTCATGCAAGACTCTAAAATTTGGAATTCTAATGATGTGGGTGGCTTGGCAACAGGCACTAACAGGGACGAAAAAGCTGTTTTAGGGAAGTATTTGAAAGAAACTTGGATAAGGGATGTATGTTTGTGGAGGGATTTTTGAATGATTTTCTTTTGCAGTTAACAAGTGTGGCTGGAGGATTATGTGGCTTGGGAGGAAGGGAACATGCAATTGAGTCCTAATTTTATAGTGTGTTACCAGGACTGGGAGCTTCAGGCAGTTATGGTTTTAAAGTTGTATAGGCATATAGCACTAACTTCTTTGGAAAGGTGAAGGTGCTATTATCATTTGGAGGTAGTGGTCTGGTTTTGCATTCTTCATGCTAGAAGTTATTGTCAGAAATGAAAGAAGGTGACTTTCCAGGTAACGAGGTGTGGGTTTGAATGTTGTCGAGGAAGCAGTTTTTGTGAGAAACAAAATTAAGGATGGATGTTTTATAGTGGACTTTTAAACTTTAGAGAGTAGGTAGATCTAGTCAGTGTTGTTGTATGTGTAAGTTGGGAGGCACATCTGTGAATTATCTTTTACTTGATTTTTTTTGGTATCAGTGAGCTTTGGGTTTTCTTATCTGTTTGGTGTTTAACGGGCCATGCCTAATGCGTTGGATATGTTGCAAGGGGTGATGTTTTAAGGTGGGACTAAGATTAAGAAGGAGGTTTTGTATAGGCTGTCCTCAAAATAGATCATGCTGTAATGGATGCGGAGAATATAGGAGGTTTTGTATAGGCTGTTGTAGTAGTGAATTTCCAATGATGCAGAACTCAATATAAAACACACAGATATACTTTTTTGTTTTAACTCCCGAATCCCATAGACATAAATTCTTAATGATTGTTGATGGATTTGTTGAATATTTGAAGATGATTTAATATGAGTAACGGTTTGTAAATTGAATTTTAAATATTTGTAATAGAAGCTTAGTAATTTCTACATTCACTAATTTATTGCAGTAAATACATATTCCATATTACTTATCAAAGAAAAAAAAAAAATACATATTCCATATCAACATTTATAATAAATTGTAAATTGAGTATTGGCAAATTACTGGGTTAGACCAAGGACCTCGAGAATTATTTGAGGGGCTTCCCCTTTGTGATTGTTGGTCTGTATGGTAAGAATGAAGGATTTTTTGAGTACTAAAAACTCAGTTACCACCTTGGTAAAGGATATCTTGACTTGACCGCTTTCCTTCTATGATCTTTTGTGTCTAATATTAGATGTTCTTCTCAGAATTTGTTGATAGTTGCTGTTCAATTGGAATGTTATAAGGTCCATGCATACCCTGTGTACCAGAGCCTTTCATTTCAATATTGATAAATTATTTTACTTATCTGAAAACAAGAGAAGTCATTTTAATATTGCTGTTAAAGAGAAAAGTGTTCAATTACCTATGTGAAAAGGACTGGTGTTTCATGAGTATATCTCATCAGTTGGTTCATGATGCAACATATTGTTCTTAATTCTTTTAGGTGAGGTCATGGATGGAAGAAGTATATCCTGGTGTTAACAACTGCATAATTTCATATATAATTGGATTGGATAGCCTTAAGGCAACCAGCATTGACAACAGCACCTCATTGCAAAGAACTGGTGAAGATATTAGGTTACGGATGGATGGTCTATTTGAGCAAGAGAAGCATGCAGTCCAATTCACAAGAGAATTTACAGCTTTGTATACAAATGGACCAGCTGGAGGAGGTGGTATCAGGTATATTTCTCATCAACTACTGGGTTTTTTTTTTTTTGGTGAGTCAACAGCATGTTGCTGATGGATGATTTTTAGCAAGACCTTTACTAACAGAAATCATGATTAAAACATTATTTTAATTGGTAAATGAACTAATCTGAGAGCGTTTTGTCTGATCATGAAAGCTCTGTTATTTCTTGGTAGCGGTCCAGAATCATCTTAGCTTGATTTTAATATGCCCATGCTGAAACCTTGGTAAATTTTGAGGGTTGGCATTAGGTCAGTTGGGGCATAATTTCCTGGACTCGCAAGAAGCTTAAAAGCTGAATACAAAAATCTTAGATTATAATGCAAACCACCAGGATTTGTGAGTTTACAAGGGGTTCACGATTTACAAGACATTTCAGTTGCGTGTAGGGATATGAATTGTGTAAGAGTAATCCTAATGTTTAATATAAAACATTGGAGAACATTTAATTGACTGGTAGTATAGGTTTTGTATAGATTACATTCTCTAAATCTTGGGAGAGGAAAATCTAAATATATGGAGACATTCATCAAATAATACTCTTTTCCAACCTATACGAGACGAGAATAATTTTGAGCTAGCTAAAGCAAAAGATATTATGTGCCCAAGACAAAACAATAGTTCATTTATTCTCATATTCTCAGAAATTAAAATAATAATCAACTTAAATGCTTTCAAAGAAGGCTGATCAGACCTCAAACCACTCCGATGTCGTTTATGTAGATGATTTCCTTGTCTCTGCTTCAGGTAGCTCCATATTATTCGGTTGTAACGCAAAATCTTTTGGTGGACATTGTAGCTCTTTGTTGTAATAATACCCTTCTATTTTTTTAATTTATTTTTGGCCTGCTGTAAATCTCTTATAATTTTAATGATCATGCAACAAAATTCTATTGCGACTGTCATTACAGTGGTATTTAAAAATGGATGTTATATCCCAAGGACAGTGTATTACATCTTGATTCTTGACAAAAGGGGCATCATTGATCATTTGGGTTATGGTATACCCATAATTTTGGTTTCTAATTTTTGTCATAACTTCAAAAACCGCTTATGATTTAGTCTTCATTTGCATTTGAAACTCATAACTAGTTATTACTTGACTTTTCTTTCTCTGAGAAATCTTTGGTTTCTTTGATATTTATTAATCGAAGCATTTATGTTCTACTGTTCTTTAATTCTCCTGCCCCTTGTGATCTTTTTTGTTCCTTACCAGCTTTTTCCCATTACACTCACATTTTTTATTATTTTTGTACAATTGCAGCACTGGACACAAGAAAGAGATTACACTTGAGAAAGGATTGGTATGGCTTCCTCTCCAATAGTCATTCTGTGTGCGTGTAATCATATATTATTAATTGATTTTGCAGTTATGATCATCATTAATTCTTCTCTCTCATCCTCTTCTTCTCTGTTGAAACTCTTTGCAAATGCAGTCAATTAAGTTACAGTTTTGGTTAAATAACCCCAAACTGTTTTAAAGTATGATTGATCTAAACTTGTCAACTTTCTAGAGTAATTAGATCATGTTTTTCATCTAATGACACTTTCAATATCATCAAATGCACGGGAAGGAATTTTTACAAAAAAATTCGTTTAGTCATTCAGGTAGGACGTGAACATGTTTATTGGCGAATTACTGCAAAGCAAAACAAAATAATGAATACAAATAAAGAAGATGCAGTGGAAACCCAAGCGCGGCACGAATCAGCCTCACCATCAGTCCCACAGGGAGCAACATACAATTCTTGCACGGAGTTCTCATCACCGGAAATTGAAGTCTGTCCTGCTCCATTTGGCGAGAAGATTCCTCTTTATAGTGTAGCCCATAGCAGGGTTGGTGACAAAGGAAATGACTTGAACTTTTCTATTATCCCTCACTTCCCACCAGATATTGAGAGGCTGCAGATGATCATTACACCTGTATGGGTAAAGGAAGTCGTCTCAACACTTCTAAATCCCTCTTCTTTTCCCAACTCCGATGATATCAGAAAGAGAGACCAGTGGGTCCATGAACATGTTAAGGTGGAGATCTATGAAGCTAGAGGGATTCATTCTTTAAATGTTGTGGTTCGGAACATTCTAGATGGCGGTGTCAACTGCTCTCGGAGAATTGACAGGCACGGGAAGACCATATCAGATCTCGTATTGTGCCAGCAAGTGGTGCTGCCTCCATGATTATACTTCCACTCCGGTAAGGCAGATGTCCTGCCGCTACTCAATGGAGTAAAACCTTCCATTAAAATATGTAGTGGAATTTCACAGCTATGTTATTTGAAATGCTAAGCAAAGTAAGTAAATTATGGTTTGTGTAAAATCCTAAAACTGTAACTTCATGCCTATCGAACAGTTTTTTTTTTTTTTTAGGTAAAAATGCCTATGAAACAGTTCATGATGTATATTCCATTGTTTTTTTTTTTGCTTCTTTTGTGTCACAGTTTAATATTATTTGTGCTGAAGCTGTCAGTTTCAATATTGTTGTAATGTCTTTCGATACTTGATGAGGGTCGCTAACAGAAGTGTCACAGTTTCAATATTGTTGTACTGACTACTGAAACTGTTAGTTTCAGTATTGTTGTAATGAAGCAGTGTCTCCGTACTTGACGAAGGTCCCTAACACTTCACATAATTTTTCGCATTATTATTATTATTTTTTCATTGATCTCATCATTTGAAAATTTATTCCATTTAAAGTGGTGGTGTTTTTTAAAGTTATATTCAAATTGCATTATCCATTTATTTAGTTAATTTATTTTTTAAAATAAATATATATATGTATGAATATATTTGCTTGCAACATATCTAACCAAAATAGCAATAGAAAGGGGGTTGCCTAACTTTATTTTTCCATTTTTGTCTTGGAAAGAGTCAAAAGCATCAGCCATGTTTCTCTCCATTTTCATCGGATTACATCCATAATTTACAGCATTAACATTCTTTCTCTGCCTCATAAAATTGGGATCTCCAATCACGTGTCTGTCATGAACAAATGCAACATATACCATTGCAAGAAAAGAAATGGATGAAATGAAACCCTATTTTAATCTCATACATAAATCACTTTTTCTTTGGATAAACACACACTTTATTTAGTTTCAATTGTCCCTCCTCTCCTTCAAACCTCACTTTTATCCTTTGACCCCTCACAACCCAAACCTATTGGGTTCATTTTCAAATTTACTTCTTCCAAAAAATCATTGGGTTTCTCACCATTTTTTCTTAGAAGAAAATTAAAAGAAAATGGCATTCACGGGGACTTTGGATAAATGCAAGGCTTGTGATAAGACTGTTTATTTTGTTGATTTGTTGTCTGCTGATGGAGTCACTTATCATAAATCATGCTTCAAATGTACCCATTGCAAAGGCACTCTTGTGGTAGGTTTTCAATTTGTTCATCCGTTCTAATGTGACATTTACTGAATAGAAAGAAAGAGACTCTACCTTATCATATATCGATCCAGTCTTTTATTTTTAATGTTTTATTGATTTAAATACCTTTTATTATCAAATCAACTTGGAATTTTTAAACAAAGTTGTCAACCAATTGAAATGATTTATTTGGGATTTGCAAAATACACAATTATTTTAGTTTTATGTGGAGTGTTTTCTTTTCTTGGTATTTATGTGAAGAATCAGATTATTTAAAGATGAATCATGACATTTGCTTGACAGATGAGTAACTACTCCTCCATGGATGGAATCCTCTACTGCAAACCTCATTTTGAACAACTTTACAAGGAGTCTGGCAACTTCAGCAAGAACTTTCAGACATGTAAGAAACTTTTCACTATACACACACACACACACACACACACACAGAGATTGAGTTTCTTTAGGTTTTATAATTTAACTTATTCAACTTGGCTAACTGGTACTTGTTTTTTATGAACAATTTAGCTGTGAGGCCTGACAGGGAAATTATGCTGGTATGTTCATATTCCTAAATTTCTGCATTCTTAGTGTGCATTTGGATGTCATTAGAAAGTACTATTGTATCCAATTTCTTTAATTTCTCAACCATTTAACTTGATTTATCATAAAGCCAATTTTAGGATTTCTTAAGATGGGCATAAATCTAATTGTTTGATGTGTCATTTGTTTATGACATATATATTTTGCTCTCAAATGATGAGCACTTAAGCAGTTAACATGATTTTTTTTAATATTAGAAGGATGTCTAAAAATAATCCTTACTTCTTTCTTTCAATATATATTTTTTCCCACTCCATTGATTAATGATAAAAATATGAATACAGAATAGGACCCCAAGCAAACTCTCTTCCATGTTCTCTGGAACCGTAGACAAATGCTCTGCATGTGACAAAACAGTATATCCATTGGAGAAGGTTCGTAATTCCATAGCTCACATTCTATACATACATACATACATACATACATATATATAGCTTAACACACACATATATACATGTATGTCCATAAACAGATATCTATGGAGGGAGAATCATACCACAAGTTGTGCTTCAAGTGTGCTCATGGAGGGTGTCCCCTTACACATTCATCTTATGCTGCTCTTGATGGAATTCTCTACTGCAGACATCATTTTGCTCAGCTTTTCATGGAGAAGGGGGAATTAAGCCATGTCCTCAAGGCTGCCACACACAGAAAAAGTGGCGTTGTGCGTGTCGATCCCGTACCAGAAGCAGAAGCAGAGTCCAAAGAGGACGAGCCTAAATTGGACTCTGACCAGACACAAGAGTAGCAAATCCTAAATGTATGAACCCTTCATACATATACAAGTTTCCAAAAATTTTCAGTCCTCAGCAGACCCTCTATACTGTAATTTAATTCCGAGTGTTCAAATTATATTTTCAGTTTGTAAGCAAATTCAAAAAGTTATGTATCTTATTTATACAAATACATGGGACAATATATAATTCTTTTTGATATTCTTGCTCAAGCTTAATGCAGTCACAGGTAATAGTTTTAATCATGCATGATTGTTCTGCACAGTTGTTTTTCACCTTTTTTAATAGTTTTGAGCTGAAGAGCACTCAATAATTTTACTGCATACAAGGAATATGAGTTACTAAACATGCAGCTACAACATCATATCTTGATCATTTAGCCAAGATGGTTGAAGCAATTTATTATACACACACTCCTTTATATGTATCATCTATATATTATTCTATATAAACATACATATATTCACCATATCAATATATTATTCAATGATGTTTCCACCTTCTCAATATTTTCACTATATAGTTTTATGGAGATCACAACACCATAGCTGATTATAAACTTATTTGGCCAACACTATTTTTGTGATTTCTTGTCAAACATGCATGTATTGCTACATTCCTAAAACATTCTAAATATGGTTCCAATCAAACCTGAGGCAGCAAAAAAGTATCTCCTAGATATCACATCGACAGTCAATGCATTATCATCTGCAATATTTCTGTCAAGACGAAAAGTTTTCAGAAATAAGGGTTTTATCAAACTTTTCCGTAATTAAATTACTTTTTTCTAATATTTTCTTCAGACCATTTTATCCATCAGACGGTCGGCGGGGCTAATTAATTGTGATGCAACAGCAGAATGACATTCCATCATCCAACTGAGATTTATAATGGTCGTTAGATCTGCCTAAGCACAAACCTGCATATTTCCTAGATTTTGTTTTGCTACCAGATAACTCTTATTAAGATATAATGAGATATGATTGCAGAAACAACAGAGATGAAAAACATATACAGGGTCCAAAAGAATAAAAAACTTGTATAACAATAGGTGCAAATATGAAACCAACTTTTAAACGCATCTGAGAGGGGATGTGAAACAATTGGTGAATCATTGAAAACATAAAAATGAATGTAAATATAAAGTCAATACAGATTTAAGCAGATAATTCTGCTGCTCATTTATTCTCTCCATGCATAAATTATAAACGAAATACAATTGAAAACATCAATAAACTCAGAGGCCTTCAACTTGCTTCCCCAAGAAGAGACTAGTACACTGCTCTACCGTATCCTCAGGGCTGGTAACTGAGAAGAAAATAAATAAGCAGTTCAACTACCATTTTACAGAAGTCACATTTTCAATTTTAATTATCACGAGGAAAAAAAAAAAAAAAAAAAAAACACCCTAAACAGAGTCGATTCATTTTTCTTCATGTACACCATTTCAAGATAAGCAAAAACATTTCCATTAAGCTATCTATCATTTGTTGGTGATGGATTCAATTTGTTTGCAACCATCCCATTCTTAGCATTCTAACAGATATATACACACACACACACACACACACATATACGCCTACGGTTGCAACTGAAAACAAAATGAATTGACTTAGTTCTGTGCTTTCTTTTTGGTGACTTCATTTTAACAGATAGATTTGGGCTTCTCGATGCTACCAGAAATAGAAATGGAATGATTTGCTCACCCTACATGTTCAATCAATTATTGAATAAGCTGATATTTAGAGCTAACCTGTGTGACCTACGGTTCGCTCAGATTCATAAATCTCGAAGTCATTTCCTCCCTGCTCAAACAAAACAACCATGCCTTTACTTTTAGTCCCCCCAAAAGAGAAAGATTAGTGAAGAGAGAAAAAACTAACATGATGTAATAATGGTACACGGAACACCCAACAGAACATCACATTACGAAGCCAATAAAGCTTCAGAATAAACAATTGGTATTGTGGAGACAAATGTCTACCTTGTAAGTTTTATCTCCAAAGAAGTGGATTTCGTGACAATCGTCAAGGTATCTCAAGCAATAAGTCTTGTCCCAACCTTGAGGAAAAACCTGTCATAGGCATTGTGACCCAAAATAAATTCAATCGCAGTACTCCCAACATTTAATTTCACCAACTTAAGAATAATTAAATCATCAATAAAGATCAATATAACTTACGTCAAAGCTTATTTGCCCCCCAATGGAAAATGTGAGATTAAAGTGTGCAAATTTCTCACGAAGCACAGATACCATTTTTGGGCGTATGTTGTGTATCTGAAAATAATTCCAAAATGCAATTTATAAAGGGTCACTAGTCATATAAAATGTAAAATACTCAAGCAATGAATTTTTGCCAGAAAGAACCTTCATTTTATACCTTATCATACTTTTCAAACTCGTCTCGTTCTTCCTGACTGCAGTTTCGCCCAATTGGTGATATATTGAGCATCCCACTTCGGAACTCTATAAAGGTCCCCCTGGAGGACAAAACAGAAAGAGGGTCTAAAAATTAGATCATCCCACTTTGGAACTTTATAAATGTTCCCCTCGAGGAAATAACAGAAAGAGGGTCTAAAAATTAGCACAAGTGAAGACCTGCTATTCAGGCATTGCTTCATTACCTTTTTATTGGGATATCTAGGTCAGCAATGTAATGTAGTGTAAAATTGATAAATTCCTGCACCATCAGTTGCAATTTTATCACAAAGAAATACCAATTAATGTTGTCATAACAATAATTGTTTTGAATGTTCGGTGTTCAAGGCTATCATCTATGTACAACCACAAAACCTATACTCCATAAATTGATCACAGAGATTGATGTCATCAGCCATATTAGGTGTCCTGATACTTTGATTCATTTGGCTTCTTTGGAGTTGCTTACAAAGAGAGAGAAGTGTGTTATGGTCTTACCTTGAGCTTTTCTTCCCCAAGAGATGACTTCAAGCTCTACACAGACGAAATCGATTGAGGGAGTCATTGTCAATAAAGAGAGAGTAAAAAATTAACATAAACTGACAACGAATTCAATGCATTTTCTTATGGATTCAAAGCATTATCAAATTTAGGTTGAGTGATTAAGAATTTCAAGCTGTGCATGTACCATATCCAAAAAGTTACAACATTAAGGAAACTTAGGTTGAGTGCTTAAGAATTTACATACTCATAGCATTATCAAACTTAGGTTGAGTGCTTAAGAATTTCAAGCTGTGCATGTACCATATCCAAAAAGTTACAACATTAAGGAAAGTGATAGAATCCAGAGATTAAGTCATGAAATCCTTATATCAAAAGTTTTGAGTAACAGTTCTCCTATTACTATTTCATCTTTCTCCCAGTTGTAACTCATTTGGCACATTTCTTTTTGAAGTACCTCCAGAAAATTTATATCACCACATAGGAAAAATATTTTTGGTCCTTAAACAAACATATATTTTTGGCCTTCAAGATAGGTTTAAATTTTTCCATGTCCACTTCCATCACATATTTAACATAAATCCATGGAATATTATGCTGGTTTTATTTTTTTCTATCACACAGCGGGTCAGCATATAACCCCAAAAATCTATTTGACAGGCATCCTTCATAACGTGTTTGATGCTTTAGAGAGTTAACAAGAAAGTATAGTCTTGGTGCTACTTGTATAAAGTTTTCAATTATATATCAATTTCCCAGACATCAGTGTCCACCAGGGGAAGTGAGACTATGTATGCATAAAAAGTACCCTCTATTCTCGGATTCAACTAACAAGATTCTAATTTAAGCTTTAAACAATACCTGAGTCCCAATAAGCTTCCCATCCTTATGAGCCACAAGGCCATTCTCAGAAAATACATAATCATAGTCGTTAATAACTGCACATAATTCACGGGCAGTGGACTTCAGACAGTGAAGTAGAATATAAGCAGTGAGCCACAACATTAATTTTGAAAAAGAAAATGAAAAAGGGAAATTTAGATAATAATATTTGGGGAAACAGCTACAACGTTGTAGTGTTACGTGGAGGACTAAAAAAGACCATCTGGAGAAATGCAGAAGTTTAGCTTCTAAAAATGGCAGGTACTTCATTGCCAATTAATTACCATGACTCGTAGAATCATATGGGTCAAGATAAATGTGGCATGAAAATATAGATGGGCTGGTGCATCACTGCAGATTGTTCCTCTATATAGTTCTTCGCAAATGAAACTTTTATGTTTGGACGCCCTAGATAATAAAAAGGGAGATAAACATAAAGTTGAGACAACCAACATTTTTCTTTCAAGTTATTAGGAAAGAAATAAGGCTTACAAAATGGCTTCCTCTTGGCATGGTTTTATAAAGCTTATTTATTATTTCCCTTCAGTATCAGTAATTAATATTTATTTATCCATGCAACTCTATATATAAAAGCTGAGATGAAAAAAGGATATTTGCATTTATAAGTTAATGATACATATTTTAGTAAAATAAGCACAAAATTTTCAATAAAAAATCTATTCAATGAGGAATTTTATTTTTTTCTTTTTATAGTAGCATCTTCAAGTTACCAGAAAACTATTTTGCTTCAAGTTTAGCAATAGCTAATGTAAAATACCAGTTGTAGTGCCACTTCTATTCTAATTTCAACAGGAAATGTAGATGAAGGAAACAAATAGTACTGAACGAGTAAATTTTCAATGCCAGTATTGAAGAACAAACTACGCCTTATCAATATAAGAAGTCAGGTCAAATCTGAGCCCTCAAATGATACATCTTGATCTAGAACCACAACAAAACAAATGTAAAATTACAAAATTTCACATTTCTAGCCCCATATTGTTGATCTCTCTAACAATTATTATTATTATTTTTTGATAAGTAAGTCTCTCTAACGTGAGAAATTTTAGGTGCTAGTTGGAGAAAAAAACCTGTCTTTCCAAGCTGCTCTGAAATTTTAACAAGGTCAGATCCACCAACGACACCAACAGTAATAACCTGTAGGCAGACAAAGCCGTAAATCAAAAACAATTTTACAAAGTAATCATATTTTAAAAAAGATAAAAACTGCAAATGAAGAGATAGCTTATGGATTTTGTGCTCATAAGGGCTGTTTGCTGATTTTAGGTGGTGAAGAACATTAACCAAAATACCTTTCGGAGTTCCTTCATGAACTCTAGCATCTTCAGAGTAACCTCCTGGTAGCCATTTGAGGGCAAAACTGAGTAAATTATGATGGTACGATAAAAAAATATCAACGGGAAATACCATATCTGATGACTAATAGATCAATGCATATTGTAAACTTGACTGAACAAAGCATTTGTCTGACAATTCAACATTGTAAAAATGATAACTTTCTGCATCAAGAAAAGTGTCACATACCTTCCGTGGAGCTGTCAGAGTCCCATCAACATCAAACAAAGCAATTAAACCAGGCTTCCTTGCAGCCATCATAACTACAGTTCACTCACTGCCACAAATCATTCAAACTCAAAATCATACGTGAACACGTCTTAAAAACAATAAATTCAGTCAATTCAGGGAGTGTTTAAATTGAAATTTAATAGAGTATGCGAAATCCAATAACTGGCATTATAATCCAATAAAACCCAATCCAAGAATTGGCATTATAACCCGATAAAACCTACTATAATTCCCAGTTAGGAAACCAGTTTCTGACATCTCTATGAATTATGGGGAAAAAATTAATTGATCGAACTACTCAGCTTATCAACCTCGTGTTGCTGATTCAAATTGAATATCAAGTGACAACTTCCAAATCAAATAGCAAAGCAACTGAATTAAGCTCAAAGTATTTTCACACAAAATAGCATAAAAAGAAAAATTTCCCAAAGATTTTACATCAAAGATCAATAATTATCAAAGCAACCAAAAAACCAATTCACCAAAAGAGTATTGAAACAAAGAAAGCAATCAACTTAAAACGAATAAAGCAATCAATTATAGAAATTTGAAAGCATTGAAAACCAATTGAGAAACAGAAATATATACTGCGAATTACGGATAATGATGGGAAAGTGATTAGAAACAACAAATTTTTAACTCACCTTAATGAAGAAATGAGAAATTGGGGAACAAATGTGGAATTAGATCTCTCTGATCTGAAACAGAGAGAAATTAGAGCAGATCTACAATGGAGGGAGTTTGGGGAGTTCATGGGAATTATATATATTGTTGAGGCTTAGCTTTGACTGACTGAGACTGTAGATCTACTCAAAGGCACTACTATTGGTCCGTGGTGGTGCTTCAACAACTACTTATAAAATCTGCCGATCACAGCCGACCACGTGTCATTCTTTTTTAATCATCATCTCCAAGATTAATTGGTTGGAATTAATAAGGAAAAAGAAACACAAACTGTTTCCTTTTTGGAAATTACCAACACGCAGTCGTTTAATCATCCATAATCATTGCTGAATTTCATAACCCTAATCCCTAATTTATTATTCAACAGACCCAACTCTTTCAAATTAAAAATCAAGATACGAGAGAGGTAGAAAGTGACGTAAGGAGGAGAGAGAGACCAAAATAGAGAGAGAGAGAGACCAAAATAGAGAGAGAGATGGATGGGCTTCATCTGGGTCTAACGACTCTAACCTATTCAAATTTAAATTGATATTGGGCCTTGGCCCAACATTGAGGTTGCTTTTTTATTTTTTCTTCCAACTTTAAACCATATTTCATGAGTCGCCAGTGCCATTTTCTTGGATGCATATATATATATATATATATATATATATATATATATATATATATTTGACCATTTCTTGGGTGCATTCAAAGGCGGATTTAGGGGTTTGATAAAAAAACATATATATTACTAGTATTAGTCCACCTAAAAAAATATTAGCACACTCTATTAATAATTCTTGAATCTGTATTGATGCATCACGAGTCACAAGAAAAAAAAATTAATAAATAAAAAAATATAAAAAAAATAAATTTATTAATATCAATTTACTTAAAAAAATATTAGCACATCTCATTAACAATTCTTAAGTCCGCTCTTGGTGCATAGGAGACATCAGAGTCAGTATAGATTAATGAAATAATTCTTTTATTTTTGTGAATCACACGCGCTGACGCATATTAAGAATGTGGGCATGAATATCGCATTTCATCAAACATGTACAAGCCTGTTAGTCATCAATCAAATTCATTTATAGTCCACAATATTCAGAGAGAGAAGAAATGAAGAATGTATCGATAGAATGACGTTATATAATGTAAATAAAAAATAAGTTGAGAAACACATTTGACTAAAAACCTCTTACCAAGTGACTTGAAAATTTAAAAGGACAATACTTTCTCACACAGCCCAGCCTCAAGCTTCTTCACTTGCAACTTCGCTCGCAGCTGTGGGTTGTGGAGATTGAAGTGTGTTAGTGTGTGCATATATATTGGCACAACACAACTAGATGAGTGGGGGGAAAAGCCAAAAGTTACTAGAACCCACATCTAAGCTTTGTGAAGCAGAGAGGAAATTTCCATGTATAGTAACGAAGTAGAGTAGGAAATTTCATCTATTTACCAATCACCTATAATTTACCATACCTATTTGACCAAGGAAATTTTCATGTATAATAACGAAGCAAAGTAGGGAATTTCATCCATTTACCAATCACCTATAACTCACGGTACCTACTTGACCAAGGAAATTTTCATGTATAGTAACGAAGCAGAGTAGGAAATTTCATCCATTTACCAATCACTATCACTTAGTGTACCTATGTAATAACCCGAATTTTTTATAATTTTAAATTTATATTTATTTCATAATTTTTAATTATTAGAGATTGATTATTTGATTAAAAATTTATTCAATTGGAGATTTTGGATTATTAATATTTTGTTTTTTAGTATTGATTTTAATAAAGAGGTGTGGTGGGGTGGTTATTTTGTTTTTTAGTATTGATTTTAATAAGGTAAATGTTGTGTATCAGAGCATCTCCAATGCTAAAACCTATTTTTACATACCAAATTTATATTTTGACAGGTGCTACGGTGCCAAAATGCTACATTTTAACAATTCTGCTCCAATGGTACATCTCACGCAAAATGTTATTTTTTAACACAACCACCATTCTTATTCAACTACCATTCTCACCATTCATATTTGCATCAGTAATATTTGTTGTCCAAAATATGGTCTAAGTATACCATATACTATAGTATTATTTATTTAAATATTATCTGTAAATATAAAATAATATAATGCTTATATATATAAATATTATAAAATAATAATCTATATATATAATTACTTATAATGTATAGTTTAATAAAATAAAATAAAAATTATAAATAAAGGAACCTGATTAAAAGTCGAGGCTAGAATTTGATTCTATATCCTTAAGACAGGTTCGCCCCGTTATGGTGCTTACGGACTCAGTGGCGTCTATCTCCCAGGATACAGCGACTTGTCTTCCTTCGGTAGTAGCACTGTAAACCAAAAGAATAGGCGAACCGGTTCGGTGTAGTACTCTCTGACTCGAACTCGGACTCGGAGTGACTGACTAAGGCTCGAACCCAAATACTAAGGCTCGAACCCACAGACTAAAGAGAGAAGGAAGAAGAAGAAAATTCAGAATAAGAGAAGAATTCTCTGAATTTGGTGTGATTTACAAATGATCCAAAGGGGGGTATTTATAGGTAGTAAGGTGCCTTTTCGGGTAGGTGCAACCATGGGTTATGATGGTTAGGAAAAAGGTGTAACCCTTTGAAAAAACTAAAAAGTGGTTTTTTTAATTTAAAAGGTGTAATCCATTAGAAAAATTTAAAAATGATTTTTTTTTTTTTTTTTTTTAATTTAAAAGGTGTAACCTTTTAGAAAAACTAAAAAATAGTTTTTTTAATTCAAAAAACCAACCACCCAAAAAACCCACCCAGTGAAACCCATTTAAATAAGCCCAACCCAAAAATAGGCCCAATCTAAAATTCCATTTAATAAAATGAATAATCCGGACTTTACAATTAGGCCCAAGCCTAAGCCCAAATCCAAGCCTAAGCTTGACTTATTTAAACTTCAATTGGTTTCAACATTTTTTCCATTTACGCTTTTCAAACACCTCACTTTGGATCTAATTTCTCATTCACCCAGAAACGGATTTGAGAAAGTAAATATACCGCGTTCATCTCTTTGCGGAGAGTAACGCGCTGGTCTATAGATCCACAAAAAATTCTTAGTGGAATCTATTCCCAATTTCATCCAAAGTTTTTGTTTTGTATACCCCGTTTCCAACAATCCCCCAATTTGCATCAGGATAGGTAGTTTTTGGCCTTGAACCTTCCCTAGTGTATTACTATCGGATTTACTGGCTAACCAGTGAACATGATGTCTTGAACTGTTTAGCCGTTGATGTAAACCAAGACAATAGCAAACACACAATTCCTTCTCGCACAAAGTCGGTTCTCACGGTTGTGTTCATACGGCCCTGAATAACTCCTGGTATTTCATGAGCGCTCTAGAAAACTTAGCCTTAGAAGTTCTCATAGAAGCGGCCCCACTTCTCATATAGGTTACTTCTTATTAAGAGTATTCTACAATAGCCCACTTGAATTTTCAAGATATAAGAGTCATTAAAAGCATAGCTTATCCTACTCATCGCTGTAGGTAGCACTGTCTCATCAGAGAAATGGGTAGAAGATTAATTCTTCCCAGTGCTTCTGGTGAGCCATTTAGAATTTCTGTTGTCCATTTGAACCTAGATCTTAGGATCTCCAGTCAACTAGGTTGGGTTTCTATTAAGATGACTCATTAGCTTTCAGCTTTAATCCCATTCCCCTTGATGAACTATACATTTGCTCTCTTATCAAACCTTTTGTAAACGGATCCGCTAAATTATCTTTTGACCTGATATAATCTATTGAGATTATCCCACTTGAGAGCAATTGTTTAACGGTATTATGTCATCGACGTATATATCGAGACTTACCGTTATACATATTACTTTGTGCCCTTCCAATTGCTGATTGACTATCACAATGTATACATATAACGGGTACAGGTTTAGGCCAATTTGGAATATCTTCTAAGAAATTACGAAGCCACTCAGCTTCTTCACCAGCTTTATTCAAAGCAATAAATTCAGATTCTATAGTGGATCTGGCAATACAAGTTTGTTTTGAAGATTTCCAAGATATGGCACCTCCTCCAATAGTAAAGACATAGCCACTTGTGGATTTAGATCCTTTGTATCTGATATCCAATTAGCATCACTGTATCCTTCAAGTACTGTTGGATATCTAGAATAATGTAATCCATAACTTATGGTATATCTTAAATACTTTAGAACCCTGATTATTGCAGTCCAATGGTTCTTTCTTGGGTTACTTGTATATCTATTCAATTTATTAACTGAGTATGCTATGTCTGGTCGTGTGTAATTCATCAAATACATTAAACTTCCTATAATGCGAGAATACTCAAGTTGTGATATGATAGAACCTGTATTTTTCGATATATAAAGATTTACATCAACAGGAGTCTTTACAAGACTACTATCTTCCTTATAAAACTTTTCTAATATTTTCTCAATATAGTGAGATTGAGATAATACTAGACCATCTGATGTTCTAGAAATCTTGATTCCTAGTATGACATCAGCTATGCCTAAATATTTCATATCAAAATTTTTGGTCAATATCTTTTTAGTAGTTTTGATTATAACATCATTACTACCCATTATTAGCATATCATCCACATATAGGCACACAATGACATATCTATTTTGAGTATTTTTCACATAAATACATTTATCACACTCATTAATTTTAAAACCATTTGACAACATCACTTTGTCAAATTTTTCATGCCATTGTTTAGGTGCTTGTTTCAATCTATATAAGGATTTTACAAGCTTGCACACCTTCTTTTCTTTTCCTGAAACTATAAAACCTTCAGGTTGTTCCATATAGATTTCCTCCTCTAATTCACCATTCAAAAAGGCTGTCTTAACATCCATTTGATGTATTTCTAAATTTTACAATGCTGCAATAGCTAGTAACAATCTAATGGATGTTATTCTTGTGACTGGTGAATATATATCAAAATAATCCAAGCCTTCCTTTTGCCTGTATCCCTTAGCAACAAGTCGGCCTTTATATTTATCAATTGAACCATTAGGCTTCATTTTCCTCTTGAAAATCCACTTATACCCTAAAAGTTTAGTACTAGGAGGAAGATCCACTAGCTCCCAAGTATGATTTTGCATGATGGATTCAATTTCACTATTTATGGCTTCTTTCCATAAAGGAGCTTCAGGAGAAGACATAGCTTCCTTATAACTTTGTGGCTCATTCTCCAATATATATGTCAGAAAATCAGGACCAAATGACTTAGACGTTCTACCTCTTTTGCTATGCTTAGGTTCTTCCTTATTTTCATCATATATAGACTCTTGGTCTATATTCTCTTGTATATTGCTATTAGCAATATCATGATTTCTTTTAAGAGGATTTATTTACAAGGAAATATATCCTCAAAAAAAACAAGCATTCCTTAACTCAATAATTGTATTGACATGAATGTCAGGAATGTCTGATTTATGCACAATGAAACGATATGCAGTACTATTCTGTGCATAGCTTATAAAAATACCATCAAAGGTTTTTGGTCCTTTCTTAACTTTCTTAGGAGTAGGAACCGCAACCTTAGCTAAACACCCCCACACATTTAAGAATTTATAGGAAGGTTTTTGACCTTCCCATAATTCATAAGGTGTCACATTTGTTTTCTTTTGAGGTATTTTGTTAAGAACATAATTAGCAGAGAGCAAAGCTTCCCCCCTACAAATTCTGGGTTAAACCAGAACTTATCAACATAGCATTTATCATTTATTTTAAGGTACGATTTTTGCGTTCAGTAACACCGTTCTGTTGTGGTGAATAAGGAGCGGTAGTTTGGTGAATAATACCATGTTCTGAGCAAATGTTAGTGAATGGTACTTCGTATTCACCACCTCTATCACTTCTAAACACCTTTATCTTTTTGCCAAGTTGATTCTCAACCTCATTCTTGTAATGTTTAAACATTTCCAAGGCTTCATCTTTACTTCTTAACAAATATACATAGCAGTATCTTGTGCAATCATCAATAAAAGTAATGAAATACTTTTTCCCACCTCTAGTTGGCACAGATTTAAAGTCACAGATATCACTGTGAATTAATGATAGAGGTTCAGTACTCCGCTTTATAGAGTGAAATGAGGTTCTAGTCAATTTTGCTTCTACACATGTTTGACATTTTTGATTTAAATCAATACTAAATTTAGGTAGAGACTCTATGTTAATTAATCTACGAATCGTATCATAATTAACATGTCCTAACCTACCATGCCACACATCAGATGATTCAATCATATAAGCACAAGAAACATTAGCTTTATTATTATTATTAATAGCTTTGGGTAGAACAGTCATTACATTGAACTTAAATAGTCCATTACTTAGATACCCTTTGCCACATACACCCCATTCTTAGTCAGCACAAACTTGTCAGATACAAATACTTCTTGCTTAGAAGTGACCCGGAGACCAAGTTATTCCTGATGTCTGGTACATGCAACACATTATTAAGAGTGAGTTCTTTCCATGAGGTCATTAGTAGCTTGATTTTTCCTTGTCCTTCAACCTTTGCAGTAGAAGAGTTCCCTATGTAGAGTTATTCTTCATTATTTATAGCTTCATAGGTAGTGAATATCTTCTTTTCAGAGCAAACATGACGAGTAGCTTCTGTGTCCACCCACCATTCTCTATTGTTGCTCACCAGGTTGATTTCAGAAATCACAGCTGAAGGATTTAGCTCTGACACATCAACTGTCAACTTATCTTCCTCAGCAATATGCACCTCAGTGGTCTTTTTCTTGGGGTTGTGTTGTGCTTTGCGGCTACGACAGTCTTTAGCTCGGTGTCCTAGCTTGCCGCATATGAAGCACTTCCCAGTGAACTTCTTGTAGTTTCCTTGGTTGGGACCAGCACTTCCCAGTGAACTTCTTGTAGTTTCCTTGGTTGGGACCTTCGCCAGAGTACTTCCTCTTCTTATTCTTCTGTCCAACTTCCATTACATTTGCCTTTAACACCATTGAAGAATTCCTGGCTTTCTTTTCAGATGAGTGGTTATCTTCTTCAATTCTTAGCCTGACAATCAGGTCTTCGAGCCCCATTTCCTTGCGCTTATGCTTTAAGTAATTTTTGAAATCTTTCCAAGTAGGTGGCAGCTTTTCACTCAATGTCATCATCTCAGCATGTATCTCATGTAGGATCAGCTGGAGCTCCTGCACTTGGCTCATGACTGTCTTGGAGTCTATAATTTTGAAGTCCAGATTTCGTCCGATCACGAACTTCTTCAAGCCAGCATCCTTTGTTTTATATTTTTTGTCTAGTGACTCCCAGAGCTCTTTAGCAGTATTTATTGGACTGTACATATTATATAAAGTGTTGTCCAATCCATTGAGGATGTAGTTCTTGCATAGAAAGTTTCCATACTTCCATGTATCAACAGCTCCTAGCTTGGTAATGTCAGTCTCACCCTCATCTAGCACTGGGGCAGTCTCAGTTAGATACTTGCTTAGATTCAGAGTTGTAAGGTAGACCATCATTTTTTGTTGCCACCTTTTAAACTCCGCCCCATTGAATTTTTCGGGCTTCTCCCCATGATTGACGGGAACATTAGGCATAGTTGTACTCATACTTGCCATTTGTCTGATTATATATTAAATATACAGACCACAGTCAAATTTACATAAATAAAATACAACAATATTTAAATAATTAAACTATAGTATAATATGAATCTGTCTTAAGATTGTTGTCCAAAATATGGTCTAAGTATACCATATACTATAGTATTATTTATTTAAACATTATCTGTAAATATAAAATAATATAATGCTTATATATATAAATATTATAAAATAATAATCTATATATATAATTACTTATAATGTATAGTTTAATAAAATAAAATAAAAATTATAAATAAAGGAACCTGATTAAAAGTCGAGGCTAGAATTTGATTCTATATCCTTAAGACAGATTCGCCCCGTTATGGTGCTTACGGACTCAGTGGCGTCTATCTCCCAGGATACAACGACTTGTCTTCCTTCGGTAGTAGCACTGTAAACCAAAGGAATAGGTGAACCGGCTCGGTGTAGTACTCTCTGACTCGAACTCGGACTCGGAGTGACTGACTAAGGCTCGAACCCAAATACTAAGGCTCGAACCCACAGACTAAAGAGAGAAGGAAGAAGAAGAAAATTCAGAATAAGAGAAGAATTCTCTGAATTTGGTGTGATTTACAAATGATCCAAAGGGGGGTATTTATAGGTAGTAAGGTGCCTTTTCGGGTGGGTGCAACCATGGGTTATGATGGTTCGGAAAAAGGTGTAACCCTTTGAAAAAACTAAAAAATGGTTTTTTTAATTTAAAAGGTGTAACCCTTTAGAAAAACTAAAAAATGGTTTTTTTTTTTTAATTTAAAAGGTGTAACCTTTTAGAAAAACTAAAAAGTAGTTTTTTTAATTCAAAAAACCAACCACCCAAAAAACCCACCCATTTGTGAAACCCATTTAAATAAGCCCAACCCAAAAATAGGCCCAATCTAAAATTCCATTTAATAAAAGGAATAATCCGGACTTTACAATTAGGCCCAAGCCCAAGCCCAAATCCAAGCCCAAGCTTGACTTATTTAAACTTCAATTGGTTTCAACATTTTTTTCATTTAGGCTTTTCAAACACCTCACTTTGGATATAATTTCTCATTCACCCAGAAACGGATTTGAGAAAGTAAATATACCACATTCATCTCCTTGCGGAGAGTAACGCGCTGGTCTATAGATTCGCAAAAAATTCTTAGCGGAATCTATTCCCAATTTCATCCAAAGTTTTTGTTTTGTATACCCCGTTTCCAACAATATTAATATTAGACACATTCCAAGTTAAGTTGTAAACAATAGAAGGAAATTAAAATTAAACCTAATTAAAAAGATGAACAAATCTAAAATATTTGGTCAAAAAAAGACCCAAAAAAAAAAAAAAAAAAAATTTTTATAATTTTTTTACCACTATTTGTGAATTAATTTTTTTATATAATTTTTTTTTTCAGAAATTTATATATATTATATATATATAATATACATATAAAGATGCGAGTGGGTGATGACTGGTGAGAAACGGCACCGTTTTGAGAAATGAGAGACTTGCCAAAAAAATTTAGCAGCTGCCATATACGAGAAAAAATTTGAGAATCTCAAATTTTGAGAACTCAAATAAGAGCTCATTGGAGAGGCCCTTTTTTACCCAACTCTTACATTTTGAGTTTGAGAGGCTCAAATGAGAGAGCATTGGAGTTGCTCTTAGATGGAGAAGGAAACAAAGTGGGTTGGCCGAAGTGGAAAGAGAGAAAATTGTGATGATGGTGTGTGTACTTGTGGGACCCAATGGAAGACTCTTTGGCCAAAATCCTTTGGCTTGCCTAAGATTCTTATGACTTGGTTTATTTCTTCATGCGACTTTGCCTTTTAGGTGGCTGATAATTGGTACTGAAATGATGGAAAGGGGACACCTAGCCGAGATGGGAAGAAAGAGAAAGGAAAAAGGATGAGATGAAAAGAATTGAAAAGATAATGAAGCAGTGGGCTTCACGTGGGTTTCTGTTAGGTTTTCACAGTATAAAGTTTTTAAAACTTCATTCTACGATTAAATTAAAGAAGTATGAGTAAATATGAAAAGGTATCTCTGACAAGGGTTGTATCTATTGACTAAAGGCATAAGGTAACCCATAAATATATGGTCTCTTCAACAAAATAATTAATACTTAACTTATATATCTTTATACGTTGCTTCTCTATTCTCTTCCTACAACCTATATATATTATTATATTATATTCTTATCTTTGAGTTTTTGGGGGCAACATGACCAAAGACTTGGTGATTCGTCTCTCTGTGAACGTACTTATAGATGACACTGGAGTTGTATCTTGGAGCCTTTCATAGTCGTTACAACCTGCACGTAGGGAGACTGTAAAGGTTTTAGGACAGCGAAAATACTGCGTGCCTCTCTATTAAACAGGCCAGAAGTTTCTTTACTACTCTTATTGATTTTATATATTTTACTGGCGTATTATTTTAGTATATTGTTTTATTTATACTATATTTATTGTAGTATGATTATACTGTGATATGAATATATAAGTGTTTTAGTCAAAGTGAATTTTAATAAAATTATATGAATGGACTTATAAATGAGATTGTATAAAAATATAAAAAATCTCCAACAATTTGTTGGTGGAATGGCCTTTAAATAAGGTGTATGAGTTTTGGTTTGCATGAGGAAAGCAAAAGAGAAAAATTAGAGTGTACACAGAAAGAGTGAGCCAAGAAAGTTAGTAAGTAGAGAGAGAGAGAGACAGAGAGTGTTCGAGCACAGAGTGAGAGGTCGAGGTTGTAGAGGAGGTCGAAGCTTGAGGTCTTGATGATCTTATCAGTGTAGGGTTCTCTATACATTGAATGGCTTGGAGTGGTTTTGCTTTAATGGTTTTGATTAAATGTTTTAATTAAATGCATATGTATTTTGTTTATATACTAACATGACTGTATATTTTGTGAAGCTGTTTTATTAAACCTCCATAAAATTTTTGTTATGGTTTTTTCTACTGGGACTTTTGTCTCACCACCCTCCAATTTCAGGTACCGAAGATGAACGGCGGGCTTAGGCTGAAGAGTCGGCGTTGCAGGATTTTATTTTATTTATTTGGAGATTTTTTTTGTGTATTTGAGGAAATTGACTTTGTATAAAAAAGGATATTTTATTTGTTCCTGGGTGTATTTTGATGTATTTGGATTTGTATAAATCGAAGATTTTATTATAATTTTCGGGTCGTGACAACCTACTTGACCAAGCAAATTTCCATGTATAGTAACGAAACAAAGTAGAAAATTTCATCCATTTACCAATCACCTATAACTCACGGTACCTACTTGACCAAGGAAATTTCCATGTATAGTAACGAAGCGGAGTAGGAAATTTCATCCATTTACCAATCACCTATAACTTATGGTACCTACTTGACCAAGGAAATTCTATTTTTGAAAAAAAAAAAAAAAAAAAAAAATGATCTATCTAGGACTTGAACAATCCTTTACTTTAAAAGACGATAAAGGACTTGATTATCATATGTAAAATTAAGAATTTTTTATTGATTTTGTTTTATTTTAGTTTTAGTTCTCAAAGGAAAAAATTGCTATTGAAGTGGCAAGAAGAAGAAATAATATCCACAATTTACTTACTTTTTTTTTCTCCTTATTATTGAAACTTACAGCATTTATAATTCAAAAGAATTTTCACACTTGCTCTTTTCTTTCAATAATCTAAAATGTATTTAAAAAAAAAAAAAAAATCAAGTCGGATTTAAAAGTACAAAGGTGGGGTGACAATGTTATATGACTTTATATCTCTTAAAAGAAAATATATTAAATTATTCCTTGAGAACGGACCATTTAAAAAATATATACATTTTTTCACAATTTTGTTTTGTTTTGTTTTCGGGTCCTATTTTTGACAAATATTTACCATTCTATTTTTCTTGTAATTTTTATTTTAAAAACCAAGAGAAGTCACAAGTGGTATTATGTAACAATGGTACTTTTTTACCTTTCAAAAAAGAAGTTGAAGGTTTAAATCTATGCGCGGCCGCCCGGGAGTTTTTTGCCAAGGAAAATCTCAAGGCTAATAAAGCAAAATGATGAGCATGGCTTTTAACCAGGTGAAAAACTGTCAAAATAAAATTTTAGAAGAGAAGTTTGATTTTTAATTAGTCAATAAATTACATAGAAGTGTTGGGTTTATTTCCTTCTATATGGAGGAAAGCCCAAGTGGGTTTTATTAAAAGCCTAAAGCCCAGCCTTTAGGGAAAAGAAAACCCTAAGGAAGTTAGTATAAAAAGAGAGAGAGGTTAGCAGCAAGTGAAAGAACAAAGAGAAGAAAAACGCAGGTTTTTCCATTCTGCCCAGGTTTGATCAAACGTCCGAGCCCACTTCGTCCGTGGTCCGATCAAGCTGAAATTTGGAGGAGAGGTTCACGACTAAGTGACGCACAATCTGAATGGTGAAGATCATATTTTGAGCTCCGGAATAGTGATTCATGCCCGTGAACAGTAACTGGATTTTGGTAGAAAAACGCAGGTTTTTCTATTCTGCCCAGATTTCATCAAACGTCCGATCCTGCTTTGTCTATGGTCCGATCAAGTTAAAATTTGGAGGAGAGGTTCATGACTTAATGAGTTAAAATCTGAACGGTGAAGATCGAATTTTGAGCTCGGGAACAGTGATTCGTGCCCATAAACAGTAACCGGATTTTGGTATTTTTCTCTCCAATTCTCTTTGTTTTTTGCCAAGATTGTTGCTATCTTGATGAGATGTTTTGTAGCCTCTAATTGCAATTAGAGAAGACTTTGTGTACCCATTATCTGGTTGATAGTGAAGTTTTTAATTGGACTAGGTCCCGTGGTTTTTCTTCCTCACATTGGGGAAGTTTTCCACGTAAACAATTGCTTGTGTTCTTGTGGCTTTGTGTGATTGATGGTTTCTCTATTATTTTTAGCACATATAAAACTAGAGATATACTATATTTGCTTGCATATAGGGAGAAGAATTATTCCGCTGTATTTGTTTATTGTCATCTCTCCCAACAAAGTGGTAT